TACTTTCTTGCTAAATCAGTGACACTCAAATAAAGTGCATTTTCCCCCTTCGTTTATTTTTGTAATATTTTTGTAAGCCTTCTTTATGACAATATAAATATTTTAAGAGTGTGGTTTTTTTTATCAAAACGAAAATCAGATATTATTTTGTTACTTAAAAGTATTCATATCAGCACCTTATTTTCTTTTTCAGCAGATGATTTTTCTACTAATCGTCGTCTTAAGTTGCTCCACTTTGTGTTTAACCAAACCTCTTTTTCCTGAGATGCCATTCCTTTACAATCACACCGCCACCCATCAATCACGTGATCAAGATTACTATTCACAAGATGCTATCGTTCAGCCAGAGCTAAAGTACATTGAAAACGCCGAGAGTGAAGTTACAAGTAGTTTAGAACAGTTTTTAAACAAACACGTTGTGAGCAATAGAACAGCCAGGGACGTTAATAACCCGTGCTTTGAGAAAGCAGAGAAAAAGTGGGATTCATGCAGGCAAAAGTATGTCTTCAAGGTCCATTGTCATAGTACGCACGCTGCCTGCTATGGAGCGCTGGCGAAAGGTTATAGTTACCCCGCCTGTAAAGTAGTAATTGGCTATCCACAAGCCAAATACATCTCAAAATGTGCTGCATTGCCTATAGACTGTCAATGTGCCGCGTAAATTCATTTACTGAAGAAAGGAAGGAGGATATAATTATATTTAAAGTGAATGTATTTTATATTTCGAGAGATGTGTAGCGTCAGTCTATTTATTGGAACAAAACGGCAAGCTGTTGTTCGTATTAAATGTATTTATTTATCAAGAGACAAATAAATTATGTTTTAATAAAAACAAATGAGGAATTTTCCTATTTATTGTTTTATAGCTGGTTTACAAGCAAGTGAAAATTATCGTTTGGATGGTTAATTGCTTAGTTATAATTATGATTTTTTTAAAAAGACTGTCGCGAATTCAGTTAGAGAGATGTGATGTCCGCACATGTATGGTGCCCTTTTTCAAATAACTAGTAGCCGGTGAGAAAATCTGGCTAAAAATGGAAAAAAATTCCTCTTTACGAGTCTAAATTATTTTCCTGAAAAAGTTTAAAAAGTCTAGGCTGAGGTGGCTCTAAAACTATATGATGCCAAAATCCACTTGTTTTACTTGGAAGGCAGGGAGAAATCCTCAGTAGTTGGAATTTTTTTAAGAAATGATTAATTAATCCCTTTAAACCACTACAGAGATGGAAAAATGATTCCTGTCACCCCTACATTTAAGTTTTGCCAATATTTTTGAGACAAAATATACCATCAAAACCTATAATAGCACTGAATGAACAACTGTTAAAAGAGTTCTACTGTATTGAGCTTGAAGTGACTATGGTGCACACTGAACAAGGAAAATTTGAACGAAACTTCGAACAACGTTATACTTTTCCGTGTCGTAATGTATTGGGCTTTTCATTAAACTGGGTACTTTAAAAGTCAGATCAGTCGGCTTTGGTCTTAATTTAGGCCTAGTTCTCTCGGTGGAAGGACATTGTATTAATAGTGTACGGAAGGCTACGTTTACCTAAACATCCCTAAACATAAAAAATACTGTCTTAATATAGGCAAACATAACGCCTTTTGTAAACGAATGAACAAAACCTTATTTTGTTGTTTTGGGTACGAAATAGGTTCATCTTGAAAGTTTTTTTTTTAAGAAAATGCAAAATTTCAACATTCAAAACTAATATCTTTGCAAGTACTTGCAAATGATTATTCAAAGTTTCAACTTTCTCCCCAAAAGGATTGTTGGTCAGTTTCGTCAGTGAATTTTCATTAGTATGAGGGCCCCCAAACAGCTATTATTTCTCAGTATTTTCTGAAGAATAAAAAAGCAGAAAAGTAACCCCCTAATTCTAAGCTTAAGGAACATTTCTGATCTGTGTTTCAGCCCCTTCTTTTACATTATTTCCTCTTTTATTTTAGACTTTATTTTACTTATATCTTTCAACAAACTATTTACAGGTCTTAAAACTTGAGAATACAACTCTTCAACGTCCCCGGCCAGAGGAGGGCTACAAGTCGGATTACAATGTTGCTGTTGTGCATCAGTTCAATGCTTGAAAGTTTTCATTAACCTTCCGTCCCTCCGAACTCCTCTTTCACATACAGGTAGAAAGGGAAAGTGATAGAGAACAGAAAACTGGATGCCGTGTGCAGTCGTCCTATGGGGCCTTTGTGAAGTCACCCGTGAGATGCGATTTTCTGGTCAAGATAGAGGGCAAGAAAAAACAATCGTAACTTGAAAAGAGTGTTTAATCCCTATGTTTCTGGTGAAAATGCTATCGAAATTTCTTGGTTATCAACAAAAGATTCGTTTACCCTTTCGAAAGTAAGGACGCTTAACGTCCTTTTTCCTGTCAAGAGCTACTTGATTTAAAACTCTTCCCCGTAGTTTCGGGCATGAATGTTTAAGCGCTCTTAGATAGGAATGGGGCATACTTTAAGGTCGTTTTCTAAACCTATCTTAACAAAATTTAAAGAAAAGTTTTAATTTATCATCATAGTACACCGAGTGATTCCAAGGTTCTGAAAACTCTTGTACTACATTTGGAATTAGATGATTAGGCATTTCACTAAGTTTTGCGAGAGCCATCAGTGGATTTCTTGATAGCTTAAAATGATTCCAACCCACCAGAACTGGTCAGTAACCAATAAACATTTATGGGTATTTATTATACAACATATGAACCAACGACCCAGAACCACATTGTATTTTCAAGAGTACGGCTGTAGCTTCAGAACTGAGCACATAACGCTGGTGTTATTTAAGTTTTCCTGGGCTTTAAATCAATGCATCTGGAGGCCAAATGCGAACATGCAAGGAAGTATGTTTAGGAAGTTGTACAGGATGGTTTCAGCTTCCCGACTTACGAAACCCTCCTTAGATAGCTAGATATCATAGATATCCTATCCCAATTGGCTTCTATTATGATACCATACCCTTTGAATATAACTTTCGTGGGCTACGTGAATTAAGACCTTGGCTGTTAGTAATAATTTATTTAGATAATACTCAGACTCATTAATAATTCGTGAAGGGAACACAAAGAAAATCAAGGGGGATTGGGTATCGTATGTTAATAGGGGGTCTGGAGATGGGGTTAACGGACAACTGACAAATGGCCAAAAGTTTTACTAACAACTGAAAAATAGCCTAAATCATGGTAACTGACAGCTGACATTTGCCTTGGGTTTAACTGACAACTGACAAAGGACCTGATTGCCCCTTATTTTCTAATATCTAGATTTAGCCAGTGCTAAAAGCGAAGCTCTGGTTAATAATACTTATAAACAAAAAAAATAAATAAATCGTGTAATGCAAACGGAGACGGCAATGAAAATGGCATCAAGATCAATAGATCTAATTAGCAAAAAAACAAATTGCACGTGCAGCACACTTTTTTTTTCTAATTAGCAAAAAAACAAATTTGCACGTGCAGCATGCTTTTTGTCTTTCTTTGCCGTTGTTTTGCACAACTACAAGGCTGTTTTGTAGGACTAAATCGTCAAACTTCCTAGTTACAAGTTTTTTTAATGGAGGAATTGTCGTATGTGCTTACCCAATATTTTGTCTGCTGTCTTCATGTTCGCTTTTATTTTTCACTGCCCCTTAATTTTCACCTTGCTGGCCACTAGCATTTCTCAATAGGGCCATTTATACGAGGAAAAATAAGACGCGTCTTAAATAAGACGCGAAATGTACCATTTATACGACCATGTCTTATCTAAGACGAGAACAGCTCGTATAAATGGTTCGCGTCTTATTTCTGTTCTTGACTCGTTTTCATGTGAATGTTGCCCAAAAATTAACGCATGCGTACTATGCGTTCGCGTCTTATGTAAGACGCAAAGGTAATTTATACGAAGTTTTTCTCGTCTTAGCTAAGACGCGTCTTATCTAATAACAGTTGTTAAGGGCTGTTCTAAAATAAGACGTGTCTTAGCTAAGCCGCGTCTTATTTTAGACGAAATGTGCCGTTTATACGGAAAGTTCGAGTCTTATTTAAGACGCCTCCTATGTAAGACGCGTCTTATTTTTCCTTGTATAAATGGCCCTATTGTCTCACCACTGCTTTGAATTTTCATGTTTTTCTTCCCACAAAATTCATCTTTTTTGTTTTCAATCACTCGCTCTAGTTCTTTCTCTGTTATCCACGTGAGTGTAAACATCAAAAATAACGTCGAAAAAGACACCACTTCATTGTTGTTTTTTCTTTCTTAAAGTCCGGGCAGCCATGCGATTTCTTTCCAAATAAAACCTTGAGTTGCATTTCGGTTGCCATACCTGTTGATTGAATTATTTTACGTTGGTATGCCTGTGGTGCGGACGGACTCTCGGGCAGTCGGGCGGTCGGTCGGTCGGTCGGTCGGTCGGTCGGTGTACGGTCACGTGATCACCAAATTTTCTCGGATGGGTAGTTTACCACATTTTCTTACCCATAGTGCAAACAACATGTCAAACTGTGTGGGCTGCGATAACTTTGGTATCTGTTATTTATGTTCTTATAAGATGTAAAATGAAGACTTCACCGACTGACAACTATACTCGTTTCTTATAGCTATATAACGGACATGTTAATTCTGATACAAATACAGTCCAAGCACTCCTTGCGACCACTATCGTTTTACAAGCGACCAGCTCTAGTTTCACTTAACGAGGATTAGCATGAATTAACAGCTACAATTATGGACAAAAGTCTTGGGACACTTTTGCGTTTCTGGGGCGTTTTCCAATTCATACAGGTCCAACCCCTCCCCTCACCCCACAAACAATGTTGGACGCGTGTATCCAGAACTTTTTCCGAGTTTCCACTTTGTATAGGGTGGGGGGAGGGAGAACTGCAAAAAGATTTCGAAAATAATGCACTGTTTTAAGGGGGAACCGAGAAAAGACAGAACAGTATGAATGCTGCAGTACTGTCCAAAGGACTTTTGTCCAGGATTGTAGAATGCATAGAAAACCAACTCGATCAACAGAAGAGTTGCCTTAGTGTTTCTTTCACAGCTTGCCGCACTTCTCTGATCCTCCAACAGTACAGTAAAGGGTTTAAAGATGAGTTGAAATAAACGATAGTAGCCGCAAAGTTCCGAGCAAGGTAGCTCGACAAAGGCATCCCTCTCTGAGGTGTCAAAGCGACCGCTATACTGTTCACTGCCTTTCTGTATCGAGCTATGTTAAGTGGAATTGCTTAACTTGGTTGTCCTGGAAAAACATGGCTCTGAACATGGTCAACATGAATTTGGTTGTGACGTAGAGTGAGGAAAATGTTTGTGTAAGCAAAGAGTGTGGTGACTAGACACAGAGCTGTATTTATGTATATACACCATGAAGTTATACGACGATTCCAAAAATTAGTGCAGGCACCAACGATGGACAAAATCCATAAAGCAATCACAGTTATAAACGTTCTTCTTAAAGTTACAACTTGTCTGTATCTGAGCCCCAGCAACAGGGCGAGAAGTCTGTCCACGTTTATTGCAGTCAATGTAAATAAAGATACTGAACACAAAGTATAACTTGAGAAATCTTTTGCCCAATTTGCGTGATAACAAATATCCCATCTTTCGTTCACAACAGAAGTAAAGTAAGTCACAGCCAAAGGCTCAGCAATGATACCAACACAGAGATCAGTTATCGCTAGGTTACGATACAGGAGTTTGGACGGCGGATGAAGTGACGTTTTCTTGTGTAGGGCAACTAGGATCAGAGTGTTCCCCAAAAATGCTGCAATGGACAGAAAAATAGTTAGCGACGAAAGAAAGATAAGTTCGTTATCTACACCTCTGATTAATTCCGCAGAGCAGTACAGTTCACCGATTGTTTTCTTGTTTTCGTATTCGGTAAAATTTGTCAGTGCCATATTTCTCTGCGAAGATGAGCCGTCCAAGTGAGGACTTTATCTATACACCTATTTCAATTAAGGCTGCTTCGGTGAAGAATGATGCATTATATCCATGTCATTCATAGTCCGCAATGAATTATGAACCCCTGCGACGAGCTACTGACGCCACGAGTGCTATGTCAGAAGAACGTTTAGAAAAAGTATTTCAAAACACTGAAACCGAGGCCTTTTGCATTTGCCGCTTTTTAAGATAGTGATTTGAGTCCAGGTTTTGCTCTGTGGTATTATGAAAATGTTGGAAATTTTCAACGAGTTCTGCTCGCACACGTAGTAATTTTAGATGGAGTTTTATAAAACAAATTCAAGGTGTTTGTTACCTGCGTAATAAATAACAAATGGAATATAGTATTACTGATTTGGTTTATTGAACTAATCAGCATTCTGGCCCGGACACGTAGCGGTAAAACCCAATTCAATAGCCTTGATGCTGTAAAAAGAAGCGGCTTCTGAACTTGGCTATGACTTCCCGCTTACATAAAAGGTCTACCAAAGTTCTCGGGTGTAAAATGCACCGCAGGCTATGAAACATGGTTCACGCACCAATTTTGCCATGCTTAACGCAAGCAACCTTAATTGAAATAGGTCTTTTGATTTGAGTGGAAGATGAAATCATTCTCGCATCTTCTAAATGGACAAATCTTGTAGGAAATAAAGTCTCAGCTGTCGACAAACACGTCAAACCTTATTAGCTGAATTTTGGCACAATTTTGTTGCGTATGTTGCTATAAATTGTAAAATATTATCAAGTACTCCCGGAGTACTTCACCTGATAGAGAGGCAATGACGCTCGTTTCGAATGAGTGAACTTAACCCTTTCATTATAGGATTTATCTCTCAGGAATCAAACCTTTCAAAAAATAAACTTTTCCTACAACTCATAGAGGATATGTTTATTCTGATAAAAACACCTGTTTCCCCTCCCCCCTTGTTTTTCGTGATAACTATAATTGGCCGTTTTTACCAGCTAGTGACGTTAAAGTCAAATGAGACCCATTTAACATTATAACTTCAGGCACGACCAATTATAATGCTGATAATCAATTAAGTCCCCAGCACATTTAACTTAGAAAATGGGGAGACGAAGTTGACCGATAATGGCAGTCCTGTTTCAATCTCAGACACCTTGACGCTTTTGAATAATTACATTTTAACTCCATCTCCATAACTTTTTTGCGAGAATTCGTCGATGGAAGGCCGTAGGTTATACATCTTTAGTAAAATCCAACTAGTGGTCTGTTATCAATGCTGCGTTCTGATTGGTTGAGCCACTACTAGGCTATATGTTATAGCCCACTAGTAGCGAAAAGCACGGGCTCTTTGGCGGCAAAAAAGATTAACGTCTCGTTTTAACTAGCTAAAATTGTTTTATTCTCGATATTTTTGACCAACTAGTTGGATTTTGCTCTCGCCCTCATGGCCTCTTGAGTCAATAGCCCATGAGGCCTACGGCCTCATGGGCTATTGACATAGAGCCCATTCGGGCTCGAAGAATAATTGTTAAATAGCGACTGGTCAAGGCAACCTTTCGCTGCCTCACTTCATTTTACATTCTAATGAGGAGGGGATTTCGTGTTGGAAATCTGTTTTCTTTTGTTTTTCCTTGGACAGCTTTTTTTGTCGAAAATACGTAGAAATAATGTCTGATAATGTTGTCGATAGGTGGCTATGTCACGAATTTATTGCGGTTAATTCTAATTCAATTCTGTGCTCAAGTCATTACAAAGTGCCTTTAGCCATACACTACTAAAATGCTTCTGTAGACTAAGAATTATGAAAGATCATAACAAACAAATTTCCTGTGCATGATTAGCATGTAAATTTATTTTTTGGTTCGCTTTGTGTGTGTTTTTCTTTTTTCTTTTCTTTATTTTTCTTAAAGTTTTTCGTTGGCTTACTTCCTATACTTTTACGACCATAGACATGTTTTTTCACGTAAATATTATGGTCACACGTGGACTTTGTTTGTTTATTTTTTCCTTAACTCCAACTCCATTCCCCTTTGCCCGTTCCGCGTTAAGTAACATCCCTTCTGGCTTACATTCTGAAAAAGTACGATGGTTGGTCCTTTTTTTGGCAAAATATTATGTTCATATGGCGACTTTTTGGTAACGTTTGCGTGTGTTAGGCAAAATGCAAATGTTACTGTGTCTTTATTAAAACCATTTGATATACTCGCCCTCAGCACCTTATATACAAACATTGTTAATTTTTGAAGAGGCGATATTTTTGCGATTCCGATTATTTTTTACCAAAATGAACTAATGACCGATGTGAGTATTAATAAAAAATTGGCTCTTACCCGGTATAAACACCTATTATTTCTCCCGATGCCTTTTCCTCTCCGTTGCGTTATGAATAACTGACGTAGAATATAGCAATATACCGACTGATTTTCGACCTTTACCGGCCTTACTTCAGTAAGTAGTAATGCTTTGTACTGCTGCTAGGCTGTGTTCATGTTCGCTTTTATTTTTTACTGCCCCTCATTTTCACCTTGTTGGCCGCTCCTTGCTGGCCGCTAGCATTTCTCATTGTCTCACCGCCGCTTTGAATTTTCGTGTTTTCTTCCTACAAACTTCGTCTCTTTTGTTTTCAATCACTCGCTCTAGGTCCTTCTCTGTTATCCACGTGAGTATAAACATCAAAACTAACGTCGAAAAAGACACGACTTTGTTATTGTTTTTTCTTTCTTAAAGTCCAGGCGGCCATGCGATTTCTTTCCAAATAAAACCTTGAGTTGCACTTCGGTTGCCATACCTGTTGATTGAATTATTTACATTGGTATGCCTGTGGTGCGGATAGACTATCGGGCGGTCGGGCGGTCGGTCGGTGTACGGTCAAGTGATTACCAAATTTTCTCGGATGGGTGGTTTCATATGAAACTCCTTGTTAACAGCAGGTCTGTCATATTTCCACTGACCACGCCCACAGTAGATCTCGGTCAAAATATTCCTAAAAATTGTAGTTTTTCCTTTCGTTATCTTTTCGTTTGAAGATTCATGACAAGTTACCTCCGGAATTCGAAAATTACACGTTTAACACATATCTTTTTTTTCGTTTTGTTGTCGGTTGCTGAAAAAAATCCACGGACTTTGGCGATTACTTTTGGCAAGTTGAGTGTTTTTTAGAAGGCCCTGAATGGGAAGATTTAAAAAATGTATAATATTCCCCTCGTTTCGGTACCAATTTCATCAATATTGACCAAAATTTTTCCACGGACCCACGGCCCTGAAGTTTTACTAATGGTCGCGTGTTTGCTGCTGTTGGTTCTGTCTTTAATACCGGGCAGCAAAGCAATTGGCAATGCGGATGGTACGGGAAGCAACGGTTCCTTCATTCCGACACGAAATAAACTAGTAAGTGTGCCTATTAATATCATCGTACTTCTGTGAACCTTTTATCTCCGTTTGAAGGTTTGGCTCAGGTACTGAGGCCTAGGATGTGAATTGATACAAAGGTACTATACCAGCCGTGAAAATATTTTAGGTTAAAATCAGATTTGCGTTTTGAGTCAATAATATCCTATAATATTAACTTGCCGGGGTCTGCATTTTATTTCTTTCAGTTTTCTCATTTATACATTATGGCAAGGAGAATAAAAACGCAGAAATCGGTTACGAGTGCGCCATAGCCGCTGTCGTGAAATACATTTTTGAAGAATCTGGTGTTAGCGGTGTTGTTGTTCACAGCCGTATTCTAAACGTCTTCAAAAAGATTTCGGTACTGCAAACGACTCATAGACGTGCGAGAAAAGGCAGGAGGAACATCACTAGCAAAGTTGTTGAATGGATGGAAAACAGGACCGAAATATCAATTCGAAATTTACTATAATGAAATTGAGGTGCAGAAGGTGAAGACACAGTGTGAAATCCTTCGAGGTCAAATAAGGAACCATAGTCACGCCACTCATCTCTATCTTCGCTAAAACCTTTGTAGTGAATTTTGATCCTTTTCTTCTCTTTATCGACCTCGCGAATTTCAATTTCATACAGTTGGTTGTCCTTTCTCATTTTATTTTTGTTCTCAGCTTTAAACACTGGTAAATACTCGTCAACCTCGCTCCGCCATTTCATTAGATCATTCATGTATGATCACTAAATATCAAATGTTCATCGATGTATGACGAGAGTTTCATATGCCACATTTTCTTACCCATGGTGCTAAGCTGCGCGCGAGAGCTCCGCTACAAAACCCGTTTTTAACGCCTTAAATAGCATTGTTGCACTCTTTTCGTCAGACAGCGTGATCAAATAAGAGTTTTTAGGGGTAATCTTAGCAGCAAGACGCTTAAGTGTCATATTTCGTTACTTATTTACTGTTAAACCCATGTCTGTCATGTACCATCTGTTGTAAATGACCTTTGATCTCAAATTTAGGCTCCTCTGAGAACTCGCCGGCATACGATGCTGCTAATGAGGGCGCTAGAAAAGCAATTGCAAGTTATTACCGGTCTTTCTTGATCTTCTTACAATCTACGTCCCAATATTATACTTGCCAACTTTTTGTGAGTCAAATGCGTGAGATTTTCACCTTTTCATGACCGGGATTTCCGGAAACAACCCGGCTAATCTCGAATATTTTCGACGAATTTCCGAAGACTTCCGAACGTTACCGAAATTTAAATGTACGCAGATATTCCGGAAGACGATGGAGCACTTCCTAAGCTATTTAAAAAACGACAATTCTAGGGTGCTTTGATTTCGTTCGACAAGAAAAAGAACACAAAGTCATCATGTGTTTAAGAATAATTTGTCCGGATTTGTGAGTCAGGCGTGAGACTAAGGATTGTCCTCGATGCCTGAGATTGATGTCTTTAGTCCACAGGCATGATGCGTGTACAATATTCTGAAGGTATAAATTTTGATTGGCTTATTTAATGGTTGGAAAAGACTTAAGAAATGGAGGCTCACTTGAAATGCTTATATGTACAATAGCAAAACTGATAAAAAACTTTGGTACAATTGCATCAGTTTTCGAATTTGTGTTTAATTTACATTATATGTGCCTTTCAAGCTAGAAGTCGCATCAAAAAAAAATACAAATAAGTTTCATCGTTAATCATTAATAACCATTTAACTGACAACTAACAAACTGCCTAAAATGTAGCTGACAACTGACAAATAGCCAAAATTTTAACTGACTGCTGACATTTGTACCTTCCCCCCTCCCATCCAGACACTCTTTTGGTAACTTACGGTATGTAATTAGCCAAGGCTAGGTATTTACTCGGTTATTTTATTGGCCAATTCTTGGAACAGTAATTATCACGATCCTGTTTCTAACGAAAAAACCAAAGAGCTCTTGAGTTTTATTTTGTCCTTTTAAGAAACAAAAAGTTGCAATCACACTCGAGGTCGTTCAGTTTTTCAAGCTTACGCCGAACATTAATGAGCCTGCTGAAACAACTCACTGACGATTTTATTTAGTATTTAGCCCTGTAGCCAAAAGGAATCTTAACAGTGGGCGCCCAAATAACATGTCAAACTGTGTGGGCTTAACTGTTATGTTCTTATAAGATCTAAAATGAAGACTTCCCCGACTGACAACTATACTCGTTTCTCATAGCTATATAACGGACATGTTAATTCTGATACAAATACAGTCGAAGTTCTCCTTGCGACCACTCTCGTTTTACAAGCGACCATCTCACTTAACGAGGATTACCATGAATTAACAGCTACAATCATGGACAAAAGTCTTGGGACACTTTTGCGTTTCTGGGGCGTTTTCCAATTCATACAGATCCACAACCCCTCCCCTCACCCCACAAACAATGTTGGACGCGTGTATCCAGAATTTTTTCCGAGTTTCAACTTTTTTATAGGGTGGGGGAGGGAGAACAACAAAAAAAATTCGAAAATGATGCACTGTTTTAAGAGGAAACCGAGAAATGACAGAAAAATATGAATATTGCAGCACTGTCCCAAGGACTATGGTGAAGGATTGTAGAATACATAGAAGACCAACTCGATCAACAGAAGAGTTGCCTTAGTGTTTCTTTCACAGCTTGCCTCACTTGCCTCATCTTCCAACAGTACAGAAAGGGGTTTAAGGATGAGTTTAAGTAAACGATGGTACCCGCAAAATTTCGAGCAAGGTAGGTCGATAAAGGCATCCCTCTCTGAGGTGTCAAAGCGACCACTATACCAAACGGCAGATAACAAACAACCAATGTTACCTGTATCCACAGTGCACTGTTCACTGCCTTTCTGTATCGAGCTATGTTAAGTGGAATTGCTTGGTTTGGTTGTCCTGGAAAAACATTGCTCTGAACAGGGTTAACATGATTTTGGTTGTGACGTAGAGTGAGGAAAATTTTGGTGTAAGCGAAGATTGTGGTGACTAGACACAGAGCTGTACCTATGTGCTGATACCATGCAAATATAAGAGGATTCCAAAAAATAGTGCAGGCACTAATGATGGACAAAATCCATAAAGCAATCACAGTTATTCTCGTTCTTCTCAAAGTTACAACTTGTCTGTATCTGAGTCCCAGTAACAAGGCGAGGAGTCTGTCCTCACTTATTGCAGTCGATGTTACTAAAGATACTGCACACAGAATATAACTTAAGAAAGTTTGTGCCCAATATGCGTGATAGCAAATATCCCATCTTTCGTTCACAACAGAAGTAAGGTAAGTCACATACAAAGGCTCCAAAATGATACCAACACAGAGATCAGTTATCGCTAGGTTACGATACAAGAGTTTGGACGGCGGATGAAGTGAAGTTTCCTTGTGTAGGGCAACTAGGATCAGAGTGTTCCCCAGAAATGCAGTGACGGAAAGAAAAATATGAAGAGCTGAAAGGAATATAAGTTCGCCATCTACACCTCTGATTAATTCCACCGAGCAGTACAGTTCATCGACTGTTTTCTTGTTTTCATATTCGGTAAAATTTGTCGGTGCCATATTTCTGAGCCGGGAAGTGAGGGCTTTATTCATCCATCTATTTCAATTAAGGTTGCTTCGGTGAAGAATGATGCATGATGCATGATGCATGATCCACGTTTCATAACTATATACGTTTAATTGTCGCGTATTAATAAACAATGATCAGCAGTCATTTATAGAGTCATAAACGTGCAAAAACTCACCAAACTATTAACTAAACGTAAAAAAAAGCTCACAGGGCCAAGAAAGGTCGAGCAAAGTTGTCTCGGTACTTTTTCAATCAGGGGCACCCAACGTCAATTTTGGGAAAATATCTGTTAAACGTAAAAAAAAGCCTACAGGGCCAAAGTTGTCTCGATACTTTTTCAATCTAACTGACCGAACTATGAGCCAGGTGTCATGTCACAGGAAACTTAAACTACTTAAACTCAAGGATGATTTCAATAACTTTTTAGGTCTTATGTTGGCGGCGCATTGGTAACTTGACGTCGCAGTAAATACAATTTGAAGGAAATTCCAATAACTCAAGTTTTTTAAAAGTTTATGATAAGCTTGAGCCATCACTCCTTCCCAAAAATTAAGCGATATACTGTATATACACCTAATTGCAATTGCGTTGTCATAGTTAAATCAGCTAAAAGGAACTGAAATTAAAAATGCAAAAAACAAATCGAAATTAGTTAGGCTTACCGTTAAACCGCTATATAGTGAATTTATTTTCGACATACGCGTACTGACTTCACTTCTATGCCCCCAAAACGCCTACGCAACAAATAAATGCTCCGGGTTTTCTAACTCCTTTCTAGATTTATTAGCAGGCCTAATTAATTCCTATTTGGCTTTTTCTATTTTCAATTCTCCTTTACCATTTTTCTAAGACATGTTCATGGCAATCAGGTGTATATGCACTACGCACTGACCACACATATGGTTAAGATGGCTGGAAAAAGATATCCACATGTTTACAACAATTAGCACTCAAGTAGGGATCTCAGTGCATGTGCTTTCACGAGGTTATTTTATTTGTTAATTCTTCTGTAATTACCACGATCCGTGTTTCAAACAAAAACAAAAACAAAAGAGATGAGTTTTATTTTGTTTTTAAAAGTCGTATTCAGGGTTTAGCAAAAACAATGAAGTGTTTCAAGCTGACACCGAACTTTAATGAGCCTGTTGAAACTAACTCACTGACGATTTTAATGAGTTTTCAGTAGTAAAGGAAGTTAAAAACAGTAGGTAAACACATCAAACTGTGTGGGCTCTGTAATTTTGTTGTCTGTTATGGATGTGAGATAATGACCGTTGTAAATTCTTCTTGCTTTAATTTTTTCTACAAAACTTTGAGGAAAAAAATTAATTCTGTTTTTAGTCCTACCACACAAGGGAAAAGGATTCAGCAAAGTTGTCTAGTTTTTCAAACAAACATTAGTCTAACTATAATGAGCCGGGTGAAACTGACTCACGAGCCATTTTAATGACTTTTTAGGTCTTAATATAATGTCGGTGCAAAAAGTCTGTATGACGTTTTCTTCATTGACATCGCTGTCCGAGTTCCAGCAATTCAGGGGCACCCAACGACGATTTTCGGAAAAATATCTGTTCGGAAGACGATTTGAGATCTAGAATTTTCGGAACATTTGTTGTAAAATTTCTTGCTTGCTGCCTCTCCTAGGATTTTCGAACATCTAAAAAATGGTAAAATTGCCCATTTTTAACGGATTTTTACCCTAAAAAGGTCACCTAGAATTTTCGGGAGCCTTTTTTCTGGCTGAAATTTTCGGAAAGGTAAGTTTTGATCCCTATAATTTTCGAATCACTAGACTTTCAGCTAGGAAATCCGAACAGATGAAAAATTTATAGGGGATAAAAATATATCCATATCCACCGTTTAAATACTAAAACACGTTTCACAATGCTATGTTTAAGTGGTTTGAACTATATTCTCGTTGGGTGCCCCTGGCAATTCGGCTAATTCAACTTATTAAGCTGCATGCGAATATGCTTGAGTCATCAGAATTTTCCTAACAGAGCGTAATACATGTGAGTTATTAAACCCAATTCAGATGGCTGGAAAAAGAAACTTGGCAAGAGCCTTTAGTTTTTGGGTCTGTTATGAAAAGCAAAACGCGCGCTGTTGAAAACTTTATAACGACATCTCGTTTAGTAAACATTCGACTATACTGGGGCTATACTTGTTATGTACATGTATAAACTATTTAAATTGCTAATTGTGCGCGGCCAGCTTTGACCGTGCAAAGAGTTTCCATGTAGAAAGGAAGTTTTATTTTGTTTTTACAAGTTGTAGTCAGGGTTTAGCAAAAACAATGAAGTGTTTCAAGCTGACACCGAACTTTAATGAGCCTGTTCAGGAAACTAACTCACTGACGATGAAAAAAATTCAATGAGTTTTCAGTACTATATGTACATAACAAGTATAGTAGCGATAATGACCTTTGTCAATTCTTCTTGTTTTAATTTTTATCAACTTTTTTTTACAAAACTTTGAGGAAAAAACTGAATTAATTCAGTTTCTAGTCGTACCACACGACATCTCGTTTAGTAAACATTCGACTGGGCAATACTTGTTATGTACTTCAACACCAATTGCTAATCGTGCGCAGCCAGCTTTGACAGACGTGTGCATAGAGTTTCGGGGCTTGTAGAAAGGAAGTCTTAACAGTCCAAACATGTCAAACGGGTTTGTTTATAATTTTCGGGTCGGTTGAGATAGGTTTCGATTGAGTGAACCCCATAACTATCAATAATAATTAGGTATAAAATAGAGATATCCACTCTAACTTGCAACTAAGAAAAATTTTCTTTAGAATAGTTTTGATTATAGCTCATGTCTTTTTTTTGAACGAGCGTTCCTAATTATTTTAAACACCTGCCGACTTCTTTTTATGTCAATATATCTTTTATAGCCCAGTATATTAAAATTCACGACACACATAGATTCTTGTTATTTTATTCGTATTTTTAATTGTCCAACTCATCCTTTACTAAAGCAAAATAGCGATATCTATAAGGACACACGTTTCCATATATGGTCTAAGTGAACGAAACCCTATAACTATCAATAATGTTTGGGTACAAAATAAAGATATTCACAATGGCAACAATATTTTTCTACTCATTTTGATTATCACCTCAATTTGTCTTCTTTTTTCAACCGCTTATTTATAACAATTTATTATTGCTTTTTGCAGCCCCAGACGAAGGATAGTATTGTCAAACCAAAATATCGGGCAATTAAGCAATACTCTATCTTTTGGCTGCCAGCTTGCATTTGCTTTTACGTTTTATTCTCATTACTGATCCTGATCAACACCAAGATCCGGCTTTACTTCGCGGTCGTTTGTCCAAGTGGTTAAGCATTCACAGTTAGTACTTACCGATAAAGTTCTTGTACGCCATCATAATAAAGCTAGGTTTTTCGGGTGTATTACATAGTACGATGGTAGAACTTCTTTTCAAAACATTTAAATGTGGTCGTGTGGATTTGCTTTCACGCCAAAAGGAAACATTTTTTCGCAAACAAAAACGAATGTGTGACACATGCTACAAATTTTCTTTTGTGACCTGTTTGGCAAAATGCAAAATTTTATTGTGTAGTCAATACCCACAGTAGTTTACTAAAACAACTATCTGGCCACATCTTATACACAACAATTACGTGTATAGCAAATTGCTTACATCCCAGGCCTTCTTGCTATGCGTTTCGTTTACGTTAGCCCCGCGGACTAATGAGCCTGGGGACTAGGCAATCGCATAACCTCGCGGGGCTCTGGAGAGGGTAACCTGTAGGATGCGTTAATCATTAAAGAGATGCTTGTACCAGTATCAGAGAGGCAATTTTATTTATGTTAATATGTTGAGTGCTCCGGAAGTGCTGGCTTTAAACGTCGATGCGCTTTTAATATCTTTCATTTGCATGCTAATGTTAATTATTCTGAGAGCTGGCAAGAGAGAGCTGGAATGCCTAGCAAACTTCTCTGATCTTCCAACAGTACAGCAACGGGTTCAATGACTAGTTTAAGTAAACCAAGGTACCAGTAAAAATAATAGTAAGGTAAGTAGATAATAACATCTCTTTTTGAGTTGATAACGCTACAGCTACCTGTGTTCAAGTTCGCCTTTATTTTTCACTGCCCCTCATTTTCACCTTGCTGGCCGCTAGCATTTGTCATTGTCTCACCGCCGCTTTGAATTTTCGTGTTTTTCTTCCAAAAAAATTCGTCTCTTTTGTTTTCAGTCACTCGCGCTAGCTCTTTCTCTGTTATCCACGTGAGTGTAAACATCAAAAATAACGTCGAAAAAGACACGAATTTACTGTTGTTTTTTCTTTCTTAAAGTCCGGGCGGGCATGCGATTTCTTTCCAAATAAAACCTTGAGTTGCATTTCGGTTGCCATATGTTGATTGAATTATTTTACATTGGTATGCCTGTGGTGCGGACGGACTCTCGGGCGATCGGTCGGTCGGTCGGTGTACGGTCAAGTGATTATCAAATTTTCTCGGATGGGTAGTTTACCACATTTTCTTACCCGTGGTGCTCCGCTGAGCGCGCTTCGCGCGCGAAAGATCCTCTACAAAACCCGTTTTAAGGCCTTAAATAGCATTGTTGCACTCTTTTCGTAAGACAGCGTGATCAAATAAGACTTTTTAGGGGCGGGTGATCTTAGCAGCAAGACGCTTAAGTGTCATATTTCGTTAATTATTTACTGTTAAACCCATGTGTGTCATGTACCGTCTGATGCAAATGACCTTTGATCTCAAATTTACGCTCCTCTGAGAACGCGCCGGCGTACGATGCTGCTAATGAGGGTGCTAGAAAAGCAATTGCAAGTTATTACCGAGGCGATTCAGATGCGGTCTTTCTTGATCTTCTTACAATCTACGTCCTAAAATTATACTTGCCAACTTTTTGTGAGTCAAATGCGTGAGATTTTCACCTTGTCATGACCGGGATTTCCTGAAACGCCCCGGCTAATTCCGAATATTTCCGACGAATTTCCGAAGACTTCCGAAAGTTACCGAAATTTAAATGTACGCAGATGTTCCGGAAGACGATGGAGCACTTCCGAAGCTGCTTAAAAAACGACAATTTTGGGGTGTTTTGATTTCGTTAGAACAAAAAAAAAAACACAAAGCCATCATGTGTTTAAGAATAATTTGTCTGGATTTGTGAGTCAGGCGTGAGAAATTGTCCTCGATGCCTGAGATTGATGTCTTTAGTCTACAGGCATGATGCGTATACAATATTCTGAAGGTATAAATTTTGATGGCTTAATGGTTGGAAAAGACTTGAGAAATGGAGGCCCACTTGTAATGATATATGTACAATAGCAAAACTGATAAAAAATTTTGGTACTATTGCATCAGTTTTCGAATTTAATATTGATTTACATTATATGTGCCTTTCAAGCTAGATTTCGCATCAAAAATATACAAATACGTTTTATAGCTAATCATTAATAACCATTTCACTGACAACTAACAAAAAGCCCAAAATGTAGCTGATAACTGTCAAATGGCCAAAATTTTAACTGACTGCTGACATTTGTACCCCCTCCCCCCTCCATCCAGACCCTCTTTTAGTAACTTATGTAATTAGCTAAGGTAGGTATTTACGCGGTTATATCATTTGCTAATTTTTTGAATAGTAATTATCACGATCCTGTTTCTAACAAAAGATAAAAGAGCTCTTGAGGTTTATTTTGTTCTTAAAAGTTGTAATCAGACACGAGGTTGTTCTGTTTTTCAAGCTGACGCTGATCTTTAATGAGCCTGCTGAAACCTGAAACAACTCACTGACGATTTTAATAAGTATTTAGTCCTGTAGCCAAAAGGAAGTCTTAACAGTCGGCGCCCAAACAACATGTCAAACTGTGTGGGCTGCGGTAACTTAGGTATCTGTTGCTTATTTTGTTATAAGATGTAAAATGAAAACTTCACCGACTGACAACTATATTCGTTTCTTATAGTTATATGACGGACATGTTAATTCGGCCGATACAAATACAGTCGAAGCTCTCCTTGCGACCACTCTCGTTTTACAAGCGACGAGCTCTAGTTTTACTTAACGAGGATTAGCATGAATTAACAGCTACAATCATGGACAAAAGTCTTGGGACACTTTTGCGTTTCTGGGGCGTTCTCCAATTCATACAGGTCCACAACCCCTCCCCTCACCTCACAAACAATGTTGGACGCGTGTATCCAGAATGTTTTGAGAGTTTCAACTTTGTATAGGGTGGGGGGAGGGAGAACTGCAAAAAAATTTCGAAAATGATGCACTGTTTTATTGAGGGAACCGAGAAATGACAGAACAATATGAATATTGAAGTACTGTCCAAAGGACTTTTGTCCAAGATTGTAGAATGCATAGAAAACCAACTCGATCAACAGAAGAGTTGCCTTAGTGTTTCTTTCACAGCTTGCCGCACTTCTCTGATCTTCCAACAGTACAGAAACGGGTTTAACGATGAGTTTAAGTAAACGATGGTAGCCGCAAAGTTCCGAGTAAGGTAGCTCGATAAAGGCATCCCTCTCTGAGGTGTCAAAGCGACCACTATACCAAACGGCAGATAACAAACAACCAATGTTACCTGTATCCACAGTGCACTGTTCACTGCCTTTCTGTGTCGAGCTATGTTAGGTGGAATTTCTTGGCTTGGTTGTCCTGGAAAAACATGGCTCTGAACATGGTCAACATGAATTTGGTTGTGACGAAGAGTGAGGAAAATTTTGGTGTAAGCGAAGATTGTGGTGACTAGACACAGAGCTGTATTTATGTATATACACCATGAAGTTATGCGACGATTCCAAAAATTAGTGCAGGCACCAACGATGGACAAAATCCATAAAGCAATCACAGTTATAAACGTTCTTCTCAAAGTTACAACTTGTCTGTATCTGAGACCCAGCAACAAGGCGAGAAGTCTGTCCACGCTTATTACAGTCAATGTTAATAAAGATACTGAACACAAAGTATAACTTGAGAAATCTTTTGCCCAATTTGCGTGATAGCAAATATCCCATCTTTCGTTTACAACAGAAGTAAAGTAAGTCACAGCCAAAGGCTCAGCAATGATACCAACACAGAGATCAGTTATCGCTAGGTTACGATACAGGAGTTTGGACGGCGGATGTAGTGAAGTTTCCTTGTGTAGGGCAACTAGGATCAGAGTGTTCCCCAGAAATGCAGTGACGGAAAAAAAGATATTTAGAGCTGAAAGAAAGATAAGTTTGCCATCTACACCTCTGATTAATTCCACCGAGCAGAACAATTCAAAGACTGTTTTCTTGTTTTCATATTCGGTAAAATTTGTCAGTGCCATATTCCTCTGCGAAGCTGAGCCGGGAAGTGAGGGCTTTATTCATCCATCTATTTCAATTAAGGTTGCTTCGGTAAAGAATGATGCATGATGCATGATCCACGTTTCATAACTATATACTTAATTTGTCGCGTATTAATAAACCATGATCAGCAGTAATTTATAGAGTCATAAACGTGCAAAAACTCACCAAACTATTAACTAAACGTAAAAAAAAGCTCACAGGGCCAAGAAAGGTCGAGCAAAGTTGTCTCGGTACTTTTTCAATCAGGGGCACCCAACGTCAATTTTGGGAAAATATCTGTTAAACGTAAAAAAAAGCTCACAGGGCCAAAGTTGTCTCGATACTTTTTCAATCTAACTGACCGAACTATGAGCCAGGTGTCATGTCACAGGAAACTTAAACTACTTAAACTCAAGGATGATTTCAATAACTTTTTAGGTCTTATGTTGGCGGCGCATTGGTAACTTGACGTCGCAGTAAATACAATTTGAAGGAAATTCCAATAACTCAAGTGATAAGCTTGAGCCATCACTCCTTCCCAAAAATTAAGCGATATACTGTATATACACCCAATTGCAATTGCGTTGTCATAGTTAAATCAGCTAAAAGGAACTGAAATTAAAAATGCAAAAAACAAATCGAAATTAGTTAGGCTTACCGTTAAACCGCTATATAGTGAATTTATTTTCGACATACGCGTACTGACTTCACTTCTATGCTCCCAAAACGCCTACGCAACAAATAAATGCTCCGGTTTTTCTAACTCCTTTCTAGATTTATTAGATATAGCAGGCCTAATTAATTCCTATTTGGCTTTTTCTATTTTCATTTCTCCTTTACCATTTTTCTAAGACATGTTCATGGCAATCAGGTGTATATGCACTACGCACTGACCACACATATGGTTAAGATGGCTGGAAAAAGATATCCACATGTTTACAACAATTAGCACTCAAGTAGGGATCTCAGTGCATGTGCTTTCACGAGGTTATTTTGTTTGTTAATTCTTCTGTAATTACCACGATCCGTGTTTCAAACAAAAACAAAAACAAAAGAGATGAGTTTTATTTTGTTTTTAAAAGTCGTATTCCGGGTTTAGCAAAAACAATGAAGTGTTTCAAGCTGACACCGAACTTTAATGAGCCTGTTGAAACTAACTCACTGACGATTTTAATGATTTTACAGTAGTAAAGGAAGTTAAAAACAGTAGGTAAACACATCAAACTGTGTGGGCTAATTTTGTTATCTGTTATGGATGTGAGATAATGACCGTTGTAAATTCTTCTTGTTTTAATTTTTTCTACAAAACTTTGAGGAAAAAAATTAATTCTGTTTTTAGTCCTACCACACAAGGGAAAAGGATTCAGCAAAGTTGTCTAGTTTTTCAAACAAACATTAGTCGAACTATAATGAGCCGGGTGAAACTGACTCACGAGCCATTTTAATGACTTTTTAGGTCTTAATATAATGTCGGTGCAAAAAGTCTGTATGACGTTTTCTTCATTAACATCGCTGTCCGAGTTCCAGCAATTCAGGGGCACCCAACGACGATTTTCGGAAAAATATCTGTTCGGAAGACGATTTGAGATCTAGAATTTTCGGAACATTTGTTGTAAAATTTCTTGCTTGCCTGCCTCTCCTAGGATTTTCGAACATCTAAAAAATGGTAAAATTGCCCATTTTAACGGATTTTTACCCTAAAAAGGTCACCTAGAATTTTCGGCCTTTTTTTTTTTTTCTGGCTGAAATTTTCGGAAAGGTAAGTTTTGATCCCTATAATTTTCGAAACACTAGACTTTCAGCTAGGAAATCCGAACAGATGAAAAATTTATAGGGGATAAAAATGTACCCATATCCACCGTTTAAATACTAAAACACGTTTAACAATGCTATGTTTAAGTGGTTTGAACTATATTCTCGTTGGGTGCCCCTGGCAATTCGGCTAATTCAACTTATTAAGCTGCATGCAAATATGCTTGAGTCATCAGAATTTTCCTAACAGAGCGTAATACATGTGAGTTATTAAACCCAATTCAGATGGCTGGAAAAAGAAACTTGGCAAGAGCCTTTAGTTTTTGGGTCTGTTATGAAAAGCAAAACGCGCGCTGTTGAAAACTTTATAACGACATCTCGTTTACTAAACATTCGACTATACTGAGGCTATACTTGTTATGTACATGTATAAACTATTTAAATTGCTAATTGTGCGCGGCCAGCTTTGACCGTGCAAAGAGTTTCCATGTAGAAAGGAAGTTTTATTTTGTTTTTACAAGTTGTAGTCAGGGTTTAGCAAAAACAATGAAGTGTTTCAAGCTGACACCGAACTTTAATGAGCCTGTTCAGGAAACTAACTCACTGACGATGAAAAAAATTTAATGAGTTTTCAGTAGTACATGTACATAACAAGTATAGTAGCGATAATGACCTTTGTCAATTCTTCTTGTTTTAATTTTTATTTTTTTTTTTTTTTTTACAAAACTTTGAGGAAAAAACTGAATTAATTCAATTTCTAGTCGTACCACACGACATCTCGTTTAGTAAACATTCGACTGGGCAATACTTGTTATGTACTTCAACACCAATTGCTAATCGTGCGCAGCCAGCTGTGACAGACGTTTGCATAGAGTTTCCTTGTAGGAAGGAAGTCTTAACAGTCCAAACATGTCAAACTGGTTTGTTTATAATTTTCGGGTCGGCTGAGATAGGTTTCGATTGAGTGAGCCCCATAACTATCAATAATAATTAGATATAAAATAAATAAAGATATCCATTCTAACTTGCAACTAAGAAAAATTCTCTTTAGGATAGTTTTGATTATAGCTCATGTCTTTTTTAAACGAGCGTCCGTGATCATTTGAAACACCTGACTGTTTTTTATGTTGATATATGTTTTATAGCCCAGTATATAAAAATTCACGACACATATAGATTCTTGTTATTTTATTCGTATTTCTGCCTTTCTGTGTCGAGCTATGTTATGTGGAATTGCTTGACTTGGTTGTCCTGGAAAAACATGGCTCTGAACATGGTCAACATGAATTTGGTTGTGACGAAGAGTGAGGAAAATTTTGGTGTAAGCGAAGATTGTGGTGACTAGACACATAGCTGTACCTATGTATTGGCACCATGAAGTTAAAAGAGAATTCCAAAAAATAGTGCAGGCACTAACGATGGACAAAATCCATAAAGCAATCACAGTTATAAACGTTCTTCTCAAAGTTACAACTTTTCTGTATCTGAGCCCCAGTAACAAGGCGAGAAGTCTGTCCACGCTTATTGCAGTCAATGTTAATAAAGATACTGAACACAAAGTATAACCTGAGAAAGTTTGTGGCCTATTTGCGTAATAGCAAATATCCCATCTTTCTTTAACAGCAGAAGTCCAATAAGTCACAATCAAAGGCTCAGCAATGATACCAACACAGAGATCAGTTATCGCTATAGGTTACGATACAGGAGTTTGGACGGCGGATGAAGTGATGTTTCCTTGTGTAGGGCAACTAGGAACAGAGTGTTCCCCAAAAACGCTGCAATGGACAGAAAAATATTTAGAGCTGAAAGAAAGATAAGTTCGTTATCTACACCTCTGATTAATTCCACCGAGCAGTACAGTTCACTGAGTGTTTTCTTGTTTTCATATTCGGTAAAATTTGTCAGTGCCATATTCCTCTGCGAAGCTGAGCAGAGCAAGCGAGGACTTTATTTATACACCTGTTTCAATTAAGGCTGCTTCGGTGAAGAATGATGCATGATATCCATGTCATTCATAGTCCGCAATGAATTATGCACCCCGGCGACGAGCTACTGACGCCACTATGCTATGTCAGCAGAACGTTTAGAAAACGTATTTCAAAACACTGAGACCGAGGCCTTTTGCAGTTGCCGCTTTTTAGGATAGTGATTTGAGTCCAGGTTTTGCTCTGTGGTATTTTGCCATGTTTAACGCAAGCAACCTTAATTGAAATAGGTCTTTTGATTTGAGTGGAAGATGAAATCATTCTGGCATCTTCTAAATGGACAAATCTTGTAGGAAATAAAGTCTCAGCTGTCGCAAACGCGACAAACGTTATTACCTGAATTTTGGCACAATTTTGCTGTGTATGTTGCTATAAGTTGTAAAATATAAACAAATACTCCTGGAGTACTTCACCTGATGGACAGGTGATGAAGCTCTTTTCGAGTGAACTAACCCCATCATTATAGGATTTATCTCTCAGGAAACAAACCTTTCAAAAAAAACCTTTCCTACAACTCATAGAGGATATGTTTATTCCGATAAAAACACCTGTTTTCCCCCTTTTTTTTTTCGTGATAACTATAATTGGCCGTTTTTACCAGCTAGCGACGTTAAAGTCAAATGAGACCCATTTAACATTATAACTTCATGCAGGAGCAATTATAATGCTGATAATCAATTTAGTCCCCAGCACATTTAACTTAGAAAATGGGGGGACGAGGTTGGCCGATAATGGCTCCTGTTTCAATCTCAGACACCTGGACGCTTTTGAATAATTACATTTTAACTCCATCTCCGTTACCTTTTTTCGAGCATTCGTCGATGGAAGGCCGTAGGTTATACATCTTTAGTAAAATCCAACTAGTGGTCTATTATCAATGCTGCGTTCTGATTGGTTGAGCCACTACTAGGCTCTATGTTATACCCCACTAGTAGAGAAAAACGCGGGCTCTTTGGCGGCAAAAAAGATTAACGTCTCGTTTTAACTAGCTAAAATTGTTTTATTCTCCATATTTTTGACCAACTAGTTGGATTTTGCTCTCGCCCTCATGGCCTCTTGAGTCAATAGCCCATGAGGCCTACTGCCTCATGGGCTATTGACATAGAGCCCATTCGGGCTCGAAGAATAATTGTTAAATAGCGACTGGTCAAGGCAGCCTTTCGCTGCCTCACTTCATTTTACATTCTAATGAGGAGGGGATTTCGTGTTGGAAATCTGTTTTCTTTTGTTTTTCCTTGGACAGCTTTTTTTGTCGAAAATACGTAGAAATAATGTCTGATAATGTTGTCGATAGGTGGCTATGTCACGAATTTATTGCGGTTAATTCTAATTCAATTCTGTGCTCAAGTCATTACAAAGTGCCTTTAGCCATACACTACTAAAATGCTTCTGTAGACTAAGAATTATGAAAGATCATAACAAATAAATTTCCTGTGCATGATTAGCATGTAAATTTATTTTTTGGTTCGCTTTGTGTGTGTTTTTCTTTTTTCTTTTCTTTATTTTTCTTAAAGTTTTTCGTTGGCTTACTTCCTATACTTTTACGACCATAGACATGTTTTTTCACGTAAATATTATGGTCACACGTGGACTTTGTTTGTTTATTTTTTCCTTAACTCTAACTCCATTCCCTTTGCCCGTTCCGCGTTAAGTAACATCCCTTCTGGCTTACATTCTGAAAAAAAAACGATGGTTGGTTTTTTTTTTTGGCAAAATATTATGTTCATATGGCGACTTTTTGGTAACGTTTGCGTGTGTTAAGCAAAATGCAAATGTTACTGTGTCTTTATTAAAACCATTTGATATACTCGCCCTCAGCACCTTATATACAAACATTGTTAATTTTTGAAGAGGCGATATTTTTGCGATTCTGATTATTTTTTACCAAAATGAGCCAATGACCGATGTGAGTATTAATAAAAAATTGGCTCTTACCCGGTATAAACACCTATTATTTCTCCCGATGCCTTTTCCTCTCCGTTGCGTTATGAATAACTGACGTAGAATATAGCAATATACCGACTGATTTTCGACCTTTACCAGCCTTACTTCAGTAAGTAGTAATGCTTTATACTGCCGCTAGGCTGTGTTCATGTTCGCTTTTATTTTTTACTGCCGCTCATTTTCACCTTGTTGGCGGCTCCTTGCTGGCCGCTAGCATTTCTCATTGTCTCACCGCCGCTTTGAATTTTCGTGTTTTCTTCCTACAAACTTCGTCTCTTTTGTTTTCAATCACTCGCTCTAGGTCCTTCTCTGTTATCCACGTGAGTGTAAACATCAAAACTAACGTCGAAAAAGACACGACTTTGTTATTGTTTTTTCTTTCTTAAAGTCCAGGCGGCCATGCGATTTCTTTCCAAATAAAACCTTGAGTTGCGCTTCGGTTGCCATACCTGTTGATTGAATTATTTACATTGGTATGCCTGTGGTGCGGATGGACTCTCGGGCGGTCGGGTGGTCGATCGGTGTACGGTCACGTGATTACCAAATTTTCTCGGATGGGTGGTTTCATATGAAACTCCTTGTTAACAGCAGGTCTCTCATATTTCCACTGACCACGCCCACAGTAGATCTCGGTCAAAATATTCCTAAAAATTGTAGTTTTTCCTTTCGTTATCTTTTCGTTTGAAGATTCATGACAAGTTACCTCCGGAATTCGAAAATTACACGTTTAACACATATCTTTTTTTTCGTTTTGTTGTCGGTTGCTGAAAAAATCCACGGACTTTGGCGATTACTTTTGGCAAGTTGAGTGTTTTTAGAAGGCCCTGAATGGGAAGATTTAAAAATGTATAATATTCCCTCGTTTCGGTACCAATTTCATCAATATTGACCAAAATTTTTCCACGGACCCACGGCCCTGAAGTTTTACTAATGGTCGCGTGTTTGCTGCTGTTGGTTCTGTCTTTAATACCGGGCAGCAAAGCAATTGGCAATGCGGATGGTACGGGAAGCAACGGTTCCTTCATTCCGACACGAAATAAACTAGTAAGTGTGCCTATTAATATCATCGTACTTCTGTGAACCTTTTATCTCCGTTTGAAGGTTTGGCTCAGGTACTGAGGCCTAGGATGTGAATTGATACAAAGGTACTATACCAGCCGTGAAAATATTGTTAGGTTAAAATCAGATTTGCGTTTTGAGTCAATAATATCCTATAATATTGACTTGCCGGGGTCTGCATTTTATTTCTTTCAGTTTTCTCATTTATACATTATGGCAAGGAGAATAAAAACGCAGAAATCGGTTACGAGTGCGCCATAGCCGCTGTCGTGAAATACATTTTTGAAGAATCTGGTGTTAGCGATGTTATTGTTCACAGCCGTATTCTAAACGTCTTCAAAAAGATTTCGGTACTGCAAACGACTCATAGACGTGCGAGCAAAGGCAGGAGGAACATCACTGGCAAAGTTGTTGAATGGATGGAAAACGGGACCGAAATATCAATTAATTCGAAATTTACTATAATGAAGTTGAGGTGTAGAAGGTGAAGACACAGTGTGAAATCGTTCGAGGTCAAATAAAGAACCATAGTCACGCCACTGATCTGTATCTTTGATCCTTTTCTTCTCTTAATCGAACTCGCGAATTTTAATTTCATACAGTTGGTTGTCCTTTCTCATTTTATTTTTGTTCTTAGCTTTAAACACTGGTAAATACTCGTCAACGCCATTTCATTAGATCATTCATGTATGATCACTAAATATCAAATGTTCATCGATGTATGACAAGAGTTTCATATGCCACATTTTCTTACCCATGGTGCTAAGCTGCGCGCGAGAGCTCCGCTATGTTGCACTCTTTTCGTCAGACAGCGTGATCAAATAAGAGTTTTTAGTTTTTAGCAGCAAGACGCTTAAGTGTCATATTTCGTTAATTATTTACTGTTAAACCCATGTCTGTCATGTACCATCTGTTGTAAATGACCTTTGATCTCAAATTTAGGCTCCTCTGAGAACTCGCCGGCATACGATGCTACTAATGAGGGCGCTAGAAAAGCAATTGCAAGTTATTACCGGTCTTTCTTGATCTTCTTACAATCAAGGTCCCAATATTATACTTGCCAACTTTTTGTGAGTCAAATGCGTGAGATTTTCACCTTTTCATGACCGGGATTTCCGGAAACAACCCGGCCAATCTCGAATATTTCCGACGAATTTCCGAAGACTTCCGAACGTTACCGAAATTTAAATGTACGCAGATATTCCGGAAGACGATGGAGCACTTCCTAAGCTATTTAAAAAACGACAATTTTAGGGTGCTTTGATTTCGTTCGACAAGAAAAAGAACACAAAGTCATCATGTGTTTAAGAATAATTTGTCCGGATTTGTGAGTCAGGCGTGAGACTAAGGATTGTCCTCGATGCCTGAGATTGATGTCTTTAGTCCACAGGCATGATGCGTGTACAATATTCTGAAGGTATAAATTTTGATTGGCTTATTTAATGGTTGGAAAAGACTTAAGAAATGGAGGCTCACTTGAAATTCTTATATGTACAACAGCAAAACTGATAAAAAACTTTGGTACAATTGCATCAGTTTTCGAATTTGTGTTTAATTTACATTATATGTGCCTTTCAAGCCAGAAGTCGCATCAAAAATATACAAATAAGTTTCATCGTTAATCATTAATAACCATTTAACTGACAACTAACAAAAAGCCTAAAATGTAGCTGACAACTGACAAATGGCCACAATTTTAACTGACCGCTGACATTTGTACCCCCCCCCCCCCCCCCCCCGCATCCAGACCCTCTTTTAGTAACTTATGTAATAAGCCAAGGCTAGGTGTTTACACGGTTATTTTATTTCCTAATTTTTTGAACAGTAATTATCACGATCCTGTTTCTAACGAAAAAACCAAAGAGCTCTTGAGTTTTATTTTGTTCTTTTAAGAAACAAAAAGTTGCAATCAGACTCGAGGTCGTTCAGTTTTTCAAGCTTACGCCGAACATTAATGAGCCTGCTGAAACAACTCACTGACGATTTTATTTAGTATTTAGCCCTGTAGCCAAAAGGAATCTTAACAGTGGGCGCCCAAATAACATGTCAAACTGTGTGGGCTTAACTGTTATGTTCTTATAAGATCTAAAATGAAGACTTCCCCGACTGACAACTATACTCTTTTCTCATAGCTATATAACGGACATGTTAATTCTGATACAAATACAGTCGAAGTTCTCCTTGCGACCACTCTCGTTTTACAAGCGACCATCTCTAGTTTCACTTAACGAGGATTACCATGAATTAACAGCTACAATCATGGACAAAAGTCTTGGGACACTTTTGCGTTTCTGGGGCGTTTTCCAATTCATACAGATCCACAACCCCTCCCCTCCCCTCACCCCACAAACAATGTTGGACGCGTGTATCCAGAATTTTTTCCGAGTTTCAACTTTTTTATAGGGTGGGGGGAGGGAGAACTGCAAAAAAAATTCGAAAATGATGCACTGTTTTAAGAGGAAACCGAGAAATGACAGAAAAATATGAATATTGCAGCACTGTCCCAAGGACTATGGTGAAGGATTGTAGAATACATAGAAGACCAACTCGATCAACAGAAGAGTTGCCTTAGTGTTTCTTTCACAGCTTGCCTCACTTGCCTCATCTTCCAACAGTACAGAAAGGGGTTTAAGGATGAGTTTAAGTAAACGATGGTACCCGCAAAATTTCGAGCAAGGTAGCTCGATAAAGGCATCCCTCTCTGAGGTGTCAAAGCGACCGCTATACCAAACGGCAGATAACAAACAACCAATGTTACCTGTATCCACAGTGCACTGTTCACTGCCTTTCTGTATCGAGCTATGTTAAGTGGAATTGCTTGGCTTGGTTGTCCTGGAAAAACATGGCTCTGAACAGGGTTAACATGAATTTGGTTGTGACGTAGAGTGAGGAAAATTTTGGTGTAAGCGAAGATTGTGGTGACTAGACACAGAGCTGTACCTATGTGCTGATACCATGCAAATATAAGAGGATTCCAAAAAATAGTGCAGGCACTAATGATGGACAAAATCCATAAAGCAATCACAGTTATTCTCGTTCTTCTCAAAGTTACAACTTGTCTGTATCTGAGCCCCAGTAACAAGGCGAGGAGTCTGTCCTCACTTATTGCAGTCGATGTTACTAAAGATACTGCACACAGAATATAACTTAAGAAAGTTTGTGCCCAATATGCGTGATAGCAAATATCCCATCTTTCGTTCACAACAGAAGTAAGGTAAGTCACATACAAAGGCTCCAAAATGATACCAACACAGAGAGCAGTTATCGCCAGGTTACGATACAAGAGTTTGGACGGCGGATGAAGTGAAGTTTCCTTGTGTAGGGCAACTAGGATCAGAGTGTTCCCCAGAAGTGCAGTGACGGAAAGAAAAATATGAAGAGCTGAAAGGAATATAAGTTCGCCATCTACACCTCTGATTAATTCCACCGAGCAGTACAGTTCATCGACTGTTTTCTTGTTTTCATATTCGGTAAAATTTGTCGGTGCCATATTTCTGAGCCGGGAAGTGAGGGCTTTATTCATCCATCTATTTCAATTAAGTTTGCTTCGGTGAAGAATGATGCATGATGCATGATCCATGTTCCATAACTATATACTTCAATTTGTGGCGTATTAATAAACAATGATCAGCAGTAATTTATAGAGTCATAAACGTGCAAAAACTATTAACTAAACGTAAAAAAAAAGCTCAGAGGGCCAAAGTTGTCTCGGTACCTTTTCAATCTAACTGACCAAACTATGATGAGCCAGGTGTTATGTCACAGGTGAAACTTAAACTCACGGATCATTTTAATGAGTTTTCAGTAGTAAAGGAAGTCTTGACAGTCAGCAAACACATGAAACTGTGTAGGCTGCGGTAATTTTGTTGTCTGTTATGGATGTGCGATAATGACCTTTGTCAATTCTTCTTGTTTTAATTTTTATCAACTTTTTCTACAAAACTTTGAGGAAAAAAATTAATTCTGTTTTTAATCGTACCACACGAGGCCTGAAAAGGATTCAGCAAAGTTGTTTAATTTTTCAAACAAACATTAGTCGAACTATAATGAGCCAGATGAAACTGACTTACGGGCCATTTTAATGACTTTTTAGGTCTTAATATGTTGTCGGTGCAAAAAGTCTGTATGACGTTTTCTTCATTAACATCGCTGTCCGAGTTCAAGCAATTCGGCCAATTCAACTCATTAAGCTGCATGCAAATATGCTTGAGTCATCAGAATTTTCCTAGCAGAGCGTAATACATGTGAGTTATTAACCCAATACAGATGGCTGGAAAAACAAACTTAGCAAGAACCTTTAGTTTTTGGGTCTGTTATGAAAAGCAAAACGCGTGCTGTTGAAAACTTTGTTACGACATCTCGTTTAGTAAACATTGGACTGGGCGATACTTGTTATGTACTTCAACACCAAAGTTAATCAATTAAATTGCTAATCGTGCGCGACCAGCTTTGACAGACGTGTGCATAGAGTTTCGGGGCTTGTAGAAAGGAAGTCTTAACAGTCCAAACAAGTCAAACTGGTTTGTTTATAATTTTCGGGTCGCTTGAGATAGGTTTCGATTGAGTGAGCCCCTTAACTACCAATGATAATTAGGTATAAAATAAAGATATCCATTTTAACTTGCAACTAAGAAAAAGTTTCTTTAGAATAGTTTTGATTATAGCTCCTGTGTGTTTTTAAACGAGCGTCCCCTAATCATTTTAGACACCTGCTGACTTCTTTTTATGTGAATCGCATAATTAAGTAAAATCTCGCATTCTTATTGGTTAACGAAGCGAGGTATTTAGTGTGGAATTGCGAGTTGAAAACGAGGCTAAGCGATATTGTTTCGCATCTACGTAACAACTATATCGTCAAATTCTAACACAACAACATGCAAAAAAGGTTTTCTACAATGTCATTTTAAAATGTTTTCAAAAACATTCATTGTCACTTTTTGAAGAGTTAAAAACAAACAAAAGCGTTTTTTAAAGTGAGCCGGAGGTTCTTCCTTGTTTTGAACTGAACTACAGATTCTCGAAGAGACATAAAACCTCTTTCACTCGCGACAACCAGAAAACAAGAAAATCCTGTGAACACGGCCCAGAAAATGGCAATCCAAAGTTCAACCAAACAAAACGGAGAAACGACAACGGAGGAAGTGCCGGGGTCGATTGTCCCATATACAGAAGAAGAAATAAATACCTTCAAAGAGGACATGGCCCCTGAAAACACGAAAAAGAGTACGCCGCTTGCAATCGTCCTGAATCGTGGTACTTAGAAAAGTACAAAACAGAGCTGAACTTGAACAGCATTTCTAAAACATTTCAAGGTACTTACCTTATGTCAATCGCGACGTTAAACATGTTAAACTTTCAGTGCTTTTGCTTGGACACTTGATTTCTTTCCGTTTTGCCGCCGAAGAGGTAAAAGGTGTAAATTATTTTCCTTCTCGAGCAAATGACCAATTTGAAAAAAGACGTTCTACATAAACGGCTTCTAAATTCAGTAAAATACCTCTATTTATCCTTACGATTAGTGTGAAGCTTGTTTACATGTAAAAAAGTTTGAAAACAAAGTAAAAACAAGCACAAGGTACAAAAAAAGTTGTCGAAGGTTCAAACGTGTACGACTGACCTTGCTTCCTATTCGCTAACGCAATGACAGTTCTGACAGTTGACTTTGAAATGGCTTTCTGGAGCGCGCGCTCAGGATAAAAACAAACAATATTATTGCTGTTTTCTTTTTTTTTTCTTCTGATTTTTATTCAATTATGCGATTCAAGGAAAATTCATTACCTGACTCGAGAATTCCACGTTAAATTGCACTTGAAAACCGATATCGCACTCATCGCTTCGCGATTCGTGCGATATCGGTTTTCGCGTGCAATTTAACTTGGAATTCCCTCGTCAGGTAATGAATTTTCCTATACAATATATGTTTTATAGCCAAGTAAATAAAAATTCACGACACACATAGATTCTTGTTATTTTATTCGTATTTTTAATTGTCCAACTCATCCGTTACTAAAGCAAAATACCGGTATCTATAAGGACACACGTTTCGTTTAAGTGAACGAAACCCCATAACTATCAATAATGCTTGAGTATAAAATAAAGATATTCACTATGGCAACAATATTTTTCTACTAATTTTGATTATCACCTCAATTTGTCTTCTTTTAACAAAGCGGCCCTCACCATTTTAAACACCTGCTGACTGCTTTTTATGTTAATATGCGTTTTTAGCCCAGCAAATAAATTTTCGACACACAGATTCTTGTTATTCGTACTTTTGATTTTCTTTTCTTTTGTTTATTGTTTATTGTCTTGTTTGCCATAAGTTGTACAAAGCAAAAAAAAAATCTAATTATTTAAACTCTCATGGCGAGGAAGCCCAGGAGAAGCCACCAAATTACACATGGGAAAATCAATGGCAGAGCTACAGAAAATCTTGAAATAAAAGATAGTCGTACTAATCCATCAATTCATGGAGGAAGCTAAATATCGACTGTTCGTTGTTGTTTTTTTTCAACCGCTTATTTATAACAATTTATTATTGCTTTTTGCAGCCCCAGACAAAGGATAGTATTGTCTAACCAAAATATCGGGCAACTAAATAGTACCCTACCGTAAAAATTCCGAAAATAATCCCCGGGGCTTATATTTTTCAAAGGCCCTTTTTGAGGGGCTTATTTTTGGAGGGGCTTATATTCGGAGGGGCTTAACTTCGGAGGAAAATTTGCGTTTCAAAATCGATTGGGCTAGCCTTATAGTTGGAAGGAAATTCACCGTTTCTGCTTTGTTTTACTTTGTATTTGAGTGCAATTTTCCAAGTACAAGTCCCCGGAGGGCGTATATTTGAAGGGGCAATTTAACGGAGGGTTTTTTGCGTTACCGGTCCGGGAGCTTATATTTGGAGGGGCTTATATATGGAGGGGCTTATTTTCGGAATTTTACGGTATCTTTTGGCTGCCAGTTTGCATCTGCTTTTACGTTTTATTCTCATTACTGATCCTGATCTACACCTACCAAGATCCGGCTTTACTTCGCGGTCGTTTTTCCAAGTGGTTAAGCATTATTCAGAACTGTTAGTACTTACCGATAAAGTTCTTGTACCCCTATCATAATAAAGCTAGGTCTTTCGGGCATATTACATAGTACGATGGTAGACCTTTTTTACAAAACATTTAAATGTGGTCGTGTGGATTTGCTTTCACGCCAAAAGGAAACATTTTTTCGTAAACAAAAACGAATGTGTGACACATGCGACAAATTTTCTTTTGTGACCTGTTTTAAAGTCTTTGTCTAAATTGTTCCAAATGTTGACTGCTCTATGGAAGAAACGTCGCTGTCCTGACTTTGTCTTGCTTGGAGGAATATCAAGGGATTCTCTGTTTCTAGTGTTGTGATAGTGAATAGACTTGCGTCTTCGGAGAGACTCACACAAATATGTGGGGTGAAGGCCCTTCATGCACCTAAACGTCATTACAGTGTCTCTGTAGTGGAGATGCTCATTTACTGGTAGCCATTTGATCTCACGTAACGCAGGTGTTATGTGCTCAAATTTCTTTGTTTTTGTGATGAAACTGCACGCGAAATTCTGAACAGCTTGAGGCTTCTTGATATTTGTGGCAGTTGTGTTTGACCAAACTGTAGAGCAATAGAACAATTTGCTTAGGACTAGAGCGGAGATGATTGTGCACAGAGTCTCCCTATCAAAACTGTTCTTTACCCTGTTTATTTTGACAAAGTTTGATCATACACGATGAAGTAAGTTGATGGATGTGTTGGTCATAGGTTAAGTTGTTTTCTAGAACTATTCCGAGATCCTAGGCACTGGAGACAGGTGTGATCTCTTTCCCCAAGAAAGAGATGGAGATTTCGCTCGGAAGCCTGCGCAGTAGGTGTTGTGTTCCGACCATAAGGAACTTGGTCTTTTCAGGGTTGATTAGTAGTTGATTTTTACAGCACCAGGCAGCCACTCGTCTTAAATCTTCCTCAAGAACACGTTCTGCAGACTCGGCATCCTTGACTGGAAAGGATAAGAAGATCTTAGAGTCGTCTACGTAGGACTCGAGATTGCATACTTGTGGAGCGAGAGGACGATCACTGATATAAATACAAAACAAAAGTGGTGACAGTATGGCGCCCTGTGGTACGCCATGGGTGATAGGGAGGGGTGTAGATGTAGATGTGCCAATACGGACCACCTGAGTTCTGTCAGTCAGGTAACTCTCAAACCATTTCGTGGTTTTGTCGGCGGTAACAAGGCTCAGCTTCTGTAATAATATAGTATGGCTAATACTGTCAAAAGCTTTTGATAGATCTAATAGTATCAAGGCTGACAGTCTCTTATTGTCCATAGCATCTGTAAGTCGCTGATCGTAATATTAAGAGTCTCTGTAGAGTGGTATTTACGATTATCACTTTTATGTTCACTAAGGAGGCCGTTACGTTGTAAATAACTGCTGAACTGTTGGAGTGCTACCTTCTCGCAGATCTTTGAAGCAACAGCGAGCATCGAAAGGGGGCGATTATTTGATGGCTCCTCGTGATCTCCGTCTTTCAGTAGGGGTATGACCTCAGACGCTTTCCAGGAGTTTGGAAAGGTAGAAGTTGCGAAAGAACAGTTGATGATGTCTTGATGTGTATTGAGTAGTCAATACCCACACAGTAGTTTATAAAACAACTATCTTGCCACATCTTGTACTCAACAAACACGTGTACAGCAGAACTTGAATTGCTTACGTCCCAGGCATTCTTGCTGTGCGTTTCGTTTACGTTGGCCCCGCGGACTAATAGGCCCTAAAAAACAGGTGACATGCCTTCATAAAATATGCGTCCAGTACAATATATTTACAGTTAATATCAACAAGGATTCAAGCAGGAATTAAGAGCTGGCAAGAGAAAGCTGGAAAGCCCAGAAAATTAACTCGATCAACAGGAGAGTTCCTTAGTGCTTCTTTTACAGCTTGCCTTACTTCTCTGATCTTCCAACAGTACAGCAACGGGTTTAATGACGAGTTTAAACTAACCGTGGTACCAGTAAAAATAATAGCAAGGTAAGTAGATAACGACATCTCTTTTTGAGATGATAACGCTATAGCTATGTTATATGGGAGATAACAAATAACCAATATTACCTGCTCCCACAGTGCACTGTACACTGCCTTTTTGTATCGAGCTAAGTTCAGTGGAATTGCTTGGCCCTGTTGTCCTTGAGCAACATGGTTCTCATGCAACACGAATTTGATTGCGGAGTTTGTGGTGACTAGACACAGAACTGTAACGATGTGTTGATACCATGAAGTTATAAGAGTATTCCAAAAGGTTGTAGAAGCTCCGCCGACAATGCACATAATCCATAAAACAATTACAGCTATATGTGTTCGTTTCAAAGTTACAACTTGTCTCTATCTGAGTCCCAGCAAAAAGGCGAGAAGTCTGTCCACGCTTATTGCAGTCAGTGTCAATAAAGACACCTTAAACAAAGTATGACCTGAGAAAAACAATGCCAGAACAGAAGTCAAGTAAGTTACAAGCAAAGGCTCTGTAATTATACCAACACAGAGATCAGTTATCGCTAGGTTACGATACAGGAGTTTGGACGGCGGATGAAGTGAAGTTTCCTTGTGCAGAGCATCTAGGATCAGAGTGTTCCCCAGAAAGGCTGCAATGGACAGGAAAATGTTTAGAGCTGACAGGAAGATAAGTTCGCCATCTACACCTCTGATTAATTCAGGCGAGCAGAACTTTTTCATCTTCGGTGAAATTCGTCAGTGCCATATTGTTCCTCTGAGACACAATGACTTACAAGTGAGTGTTTTATTTATGTATACTATTTTAATTTGGGTGAAAGCTGATATCATTTCGACATCTCTACAGTCAAAACTATTCACTTAAACAGGCTATATACGTTAATTTGTCGCGTATTAATAAATAATGATCAGAAGTAATTTATAGAGTCACAAACGTGCAAAAACTATTAACTAAACGTAGAAGAAAAAAGCTCACAGGGCCAAGAAAGGTCGAGCAAAGTTGTCTCGGTACTTCTTCAATCTGAGCTAAAATCAATTCAGCTGTAATTTTTATATTTTTAAATTTGTTTGTAATTTTTATAATTTTTTATGTTCGTATAGAATCCTAAATAAAAGATCAGAACTGATTTCCAAGTGCCGCCACGAAAACAAGTTTTACCTTAGGAACAATTGACTCAAAAACAATTCTCTATTAGTTTTTCCTCACACCTAATTGTAATTAGAACCGCACTGCCCTGCTTTTTGTAATCAATAGACGCGTGTATATATATATAACTTGATAGGTTTATTCTCCATTAAATACTGTCTGATGAGTGCGTGAGCACGAAACTCGGAGTAACAGAGAATTTTGTCTCTTCGTTATATCTTCTTATTCAAAGCTCTACACTTGAAAAGTGTATTGAGCACTGTTTAACGGCTTTAGCCACTTTATTACACGTAGATTATAAATTATATATATATTTAGTTTTTTATTTTATAATCGTAGATTTAATGCACATTCGTATTTTGAACGAGCACTTGTGCTCTTAGGGCCTGTTTACATGGAGTGGAGGACCCCGGTCTAGTGGGGTTGGTTTCTTTTGTTTTCACGCTCTGGGGAACACAAAACAAAAGAAACCTACCCCACTAGACCGGGGTCCCCCACTCCATGTAAACAGGCCCTTAGACGATAACGTGGTTAAATAAATTATAATTGTTATTGTTTGCTAATTCTTCTGTCATTATCACGCCCGTAATTATCACAATCCGTGTTTCAAACAAAAACAAAAGAGATGAGTTTTATTTTGTTCTTAAAAGTTGTAGTCAGGGTTTAGCAAAACCAATGAAGTGTTTCAAGCTGACACCGAACTTTAATCAGCCTGTTCAGGAAACTAACTCACTGACGATTTTAATGAGTTTTCAGTAGTAAAGGAAGTCTTGATAGTCGGCAAACGCGTCAAACTGTGTGGGCTGCGGTAATTTTGTTGTCTGTTATGGAAGTGCGATAATGACCTTTGTCAAATCTTCTTGTTTTAATTTTTATCAACTTTTTCTACAAAACTTTGATGAAAAAAATTAACTAATTCTGTTTCTAGTCGTACCACACGAAGAAAAAGGATTCAGAAAATTTGTCTAGTTTTTCAAACAAACATTAGTCGAACTATAGTGAGCCAGGTGAAACTGACTTACGGGCCATTTCAATAACTTTTTAGGTCTTAATATGTGTTTGGTGCAACCAAGTCTGCATGACTTTTTCTTCATTAACATCGCTGTAAGTAATTCGGCCAATTCAACACAAGCTGCTCTTTCTTAAAGTCCGGGCGGCCATGCGATTTCTTTCCAAATAAAACCTTGAGTTGCACTTCGGTTGCCATACCTGTTGATTGAATTATTTACACTGATATGCCTGTGGTGCGGACGGACTCTCGGGCGGTCGGGCGGTGTACGGTCACGTCCTTACCAAATTTTCTCGGATGGGTGGTTTACCACATTTTCTTACCCATGGTACTCCGCTCAGCGCGCTTCGCACGCGAGAGCTTCGCTACAAAACCCGTTTTTAAGGCTTTACATAGCATTGTTGTACTCTTTTCGTCAGACAACGTGATCAAATGGGAGGTTTTAGGGGCGGGGTAATCTTAGCAGCTAAACGCTTAAGTGTCATATTTCGTTAATTATTTACTGTTAAACCCATGTGTGTCATGTACCATCTGTTGTAAATGACCTTTGACCTCAAATTTACGCTCCTCTGAGAACGCGCCGGCATACGATGCTGCTAATGAGGGCGCTAGAAAAGCAATTGCAAGTTATTACCGGTCTTTCTTGATCTTCTTACAATCTACGTCCCAATATTGTACTTGCCAACTTTTTGTGAGTCAAATGCGTGAGATTTTCACCTTTTCATGACCGGGATTTCCGGAAACGACCCGGCTAATTCCGAATATTTTCGACGAATTTCCGAAGACTTCCAAACGTTACCGAAATTTAAATGTACGCAGATGTTCCGGAAGACCTTGGAGCACTTCCGAAGCTACTTAAAAACGGCAAATTTAGCGTGCTTTGATTGCGTTAGAACCAAGAAAAGGACACAAAGTCATCATGTTTTTAAGAATAATTTGTCCGGATTTGTGAGTCAGGCGTAAGAAATTGTCCTCGATGCGTGAGATTGATGTTTTTGGTCCTCAGGCATGATGCGTATACAATATTCTGAAAATATAAATTTTGATTGGCTTATTTAATGGTTGGAAAAGACTTGAGAAATGGAGGCTCACTTGAAATGCTGATATGTACAATAGCAAAACTGATAAAAAATTTTGGTACAATTGCATCAGTTTTCGAATTTGTGTTTAATTTACATTATATGTGTCTTTCAAGCTAGATGTCGATTCAAAAATATACAAATAAGTTTCATCGTTAATCATTAATAACCATTTAACTGACAACTAACAAACAGCCTAAAATGTAGCTGACAACTGACAAATAGACCCTCTTTTAGTAACTTATGTAATAAGCCAAGGCTAGGTATTTACACGGTTATTTTATTTCCTAATTTTTTGAACAGTAATTATCACGATCCTGTTTCTAACGAAAAAACCAAAGAGCTCTTGAGTTTTATTTTGTTCTTTTAAGAAACAAAAAGTTGCAATCAGACTCGAGGTCGTTCAGTTTTTCAAGCTTACGCCGAACATTAATGAGCCTGCTGAAACAACTCACTGACGATTTTATTTAGTATTTAGCCCTGTAGCCAAAAGGAATCTTAACAGTGGGCGCCCAAATAACATGTCAAACTGTGTGGGCTTAACTGCCGATGTTCTTATAAGATCTAAAATGAAGACTTCCCCGACTGACAACTACACTCGTTCCTCATAGCTATATAACGGACATGTTAATTCTGATACAAATACAGTCGAAGTTCTCCTTGCGACCACTCTCGTTTTACAAGCGACCAGCTCTAGTTTCACTTAACGAGGATTACCATGAATTAACAGCTACAATCATGGACAAAAGTCTTGGGACACTTTTGCGTTTCTCGGGCGCTTTCCAATTCATACAGATCCACAACCCCTCCCCTCACCCCACAAACAATGTTGGACGCGTGTATCCAGAATTTTTTCCGAGTTTCAACTTTTTTCTAGGGTGGGGGGAGGGAGAACTGCAAAAAAAATTCGAAAATGATGCACTGTTTTAAGAGGGAACCGAGAAATGACAGAAAAATATGAATATTGCAGCACTGTCCCAAGGACTATTGTGAAGGATTGTAGAATACATAGAAGACCAACTCGATCAACAGAAGAGTTGCCTTAGTGTTTCTTTCACAGCTTGCCTCACTTGCCTCATCTTCCAACAGTACAGAAAGGGGTTTAAGGATGAGTTTAAGTAAACGATGGTACCCGCAAAATTTCGAGCAAGGTAGCTCGATAAAGGAATCCCTCTCTGAGGTGTCAAAGCGACCGCTATACCAAACGGCAGATAACAAACAACCAATGTTACCTGTATCCACAGTGCACTGTTCACTGCCTTTCTGTATCGAGCTATGTTAAGTGGAATTGCTTGGCTTGGTTGTCCTGGAAAAACATGGCTCTGAACAGGTTTAATATGAATTTGGTTGTGACGTAGAGTGAGGAAAATTTTGGTGTAAGCGAAGATTGTGGTGACTAGACACAGAGCTGTACCTATGCATAGGCACCATGAAGTTATACGACGATTCCAAAAAATAGTGCAGGCACCAACGATGGACAAAATCCATAAAGCAATCACAGTTATAAACGTTCTTCTCAAAGTTACAACTTGTCTGTATCTGAGCCCCAGTAACAAGGCGAGGAGTCTGTCCACGCTTATTGCAGTCAATGTTAATAAAGATACTGAACACAAAGTATAACTTAAGAACGTTTGTGCCCAATGTGCGTGATAGCAAATATCCCATCTTTCGTTCACAACAGAAGTAAGGTAAGTCACATACAAAGGCTCCACAATGATACCAACACAGAGATCAGTTATCGCCAGGTTACGATACAGGAGTTTGGACGGCGGATGAAGTGAAGTTTCCTTGCGTAGAGCAACTAGGATCAGAGTGTTCCCCAGAAATGCAGTGACGGAAAGAAAAATATGAAGAGCTGAAAGGAATATAAGTTCGCCATCTACACCTCTGATTAATTCCACCGAGCAGTACAGTTCAGCGACTGTTTTCTTGTTTTCATATTCGGTAAAATTTGTCGGTGCCATATTTCTGAGCCGGGAAGTGAGGGCTTTATTCATCCATCTATTTCAATTAAGGTTGCTTAGGTGAAGAATGATGCATGACGCATGATCCACGTTTCATAACTATATACGTTAAATTGTCGCGTATTAATAAACAATGATCAGCAGTCATTTATAGAGTCATAAACGTGCAAAAACTCACCAAACTATTAACTAAACGTAAAAAAAAGCTCACAGGGCCAAGAAAGGTCGAGCAAAGTTGTCTCAGTACTTTTTCAATCAGGGGCACCCCACGTCAATTTTGGGAAAATATCTGTTAAACGTAAAAAAAAGCTCACAGGGCCAAAGTTGTCTCGATACTTTTTCAATCTAACTGACCGAACTATGAGCCAGGTGTCATGTCACAGGAAACTTAAACTACTTAAACTCAAGGATGATTTCAATAACTTTTTAGGTCTTATGTTGGCGGCGCATTGGTAACTTGACGTCGCAGTAAATACAATTTGAAGGAAATTCCAATAACTCAAGTTTTTTAAAAGTTTATGATAAGCTTGAGCCATCACTCCTTCCCAAAAATTAAGCGATATACTGTATATACACCTAATTGCAATTGCGTTGTCATAGTTAAATCAGCTAAAAGGAACTGAAATTAAAAATGCAAAAAACAAATCGAAATTAGTTAGGCTTACCGTTAAACCACTATATAGTGAATTTATTTTCGACATACGCGTACTGACTTCACTTCTATGCCCCCAAAACGCCTACGCAACAAATAAATGCTCCGGTTTTTCTAACTCCTTTCTAGATTTATTAGCAGGCCTAATTAATTCCTATTTGGCTTTTTCTATTTTCAATTCTCCTTTACCATTTTTCTAAGACATGTTCATGGCAATCAGGTGTATATGCACTACGCACTGACCACACATATGGTTAAGATGGCTGGAAAAAGATATCCACATGTTTACAACAATTAGCACTCAAGTAGGGATCTCAGTGCATGTGCTTTCACGAGGTTATTTTATTTGTTAATTCTTCTGTAATTACCACGATCCGTGTTTCAAACAAAAACAAAAACAAAAGAGATGAGTTTTATTTTGTTTTTAAAAGTCGTATTCAGGGTTTAGCAAAAACAATGAAGTGTTTCAAGCTGACACCGAACTTTAATGAGCCTGTTGAAACTAACTCACTGACGATTTTAATGAGTTTTCAGTAGTAAAGGAAGTTAAAAACAGTAGGTAAACACATCAAACTGTGTGGGCTCTGTAATTTTGTTGTCTGTTATGGATGTGAGATAATGACCGTTGTAAATTCTTCTTGTTTTAATTTTTTCTACAAAACTTTGAGGAGAAAAAATTAATTCTGTTTTTAGTCCTACCACACAAGGGAAAAGGATTCAGCAAAGTTGTCTAGTTTTTCAAACAAACATTAGTCGAACTATAATGAGCCGGGTGAAACTGACTCACGAGCCATTTTAATGACTTTTTAGGTCTTAATATAATGTCGGTGCAAAAAGTCTGTATGACGTTTTCTTCATTAACATCGCTGTCCGAGTTCCAGCAATTCAGGGGCACCCAACGACGATTTTCGGAAAAATATCTGTTCGGAAGACGATTTGAGATCTAGAATTTTCGGAACATTTGTTGTAAAATTTCTTGCTTGCCTGCCTCTCCTAGGATTTTCGAACATCTAAAAAATGGTAAAATTGCCCATTTTTAACGGATTTTTACCCTAAAAAGGTCACCTAGAATTTTCGGGAGCCTTTTTTCTGGCTGAAATTTTCGGAAAGGTAAGTTTTGATCCCTATAATTTTCGAAACACTAGACTTTCAGCTAGGAAATCCGAACAGATGAAAAATTTATAGGGGATAAAAATATACCCATATCCACCGTTTAAATACTAAAACACGTTTAACAATGCTATGTTTAAGTGGTTTGAACTATATTCTCGTTGGGTGCCCCTGGCAATTCGGCTAATTCAATTTATTAAGCTGCATGCAAATATGCTTGAGTCATCAGAATTTTCCTAACAGAGCGTAATACATGTGAGTTATTAAACCCAATTCAGATGGCTGGAAAAAGAAACTTGGCAAGAGCCTTTAGTTTTTGGGTCTGTTATGAAAAGCAAAACGCGCGCTGTTGAAAACTTTATAACGACATCTCGTTTACTAAACATTCGACTATACTGGGGCTATACTTGTTATGTACATGTATAAACTATTTAAATTGCTAATTGTGCGCGGTCAGCTTTGACCGTGCAAAGAGTTTCCATGTAGAAAGGAAGTTTTATTTTGTTTTTACAAGTTGTAGTCAGGGTTTAGCAAAAACAATGAAGTGTTTCAAGCTGACACCGAACTTTAATGAGCCTGTTCAGGAAACTAACTCACTGACGATGAAAAAAATTTAATGAGTTTTCAGTAGTACATGTACATAACAAGTATAGTAGCGATAATGACCTTTGTCAATTCTTCTTGTTTTAATTTTTATCAACTTTTTTTTACAAAACTTTGAGGAAAAAACTGAATTAATTCAATTTCTAGTCGTACCACACGACATCTCGTTTAGTAAACATTCGACTGGGCAATACTTGTTATGTACTTCAACACCAATTGCTAATCGTGCGCAGCCAGCTTTGACAGACGTGTGCATAGAGTTTCGGGGCTTGTAGAAAGGAAGTCTTAACAGTCCAAACATGTCAAACGGGTTTGTTTATAATTTTCGGGTCGGTTGAGATAGGTTTCGATTGAGTGAACCCCATAACTATCAATAATAATTAGGTATAAAATAGAGATATCCACTCTAACTTGCAACTAAGAAAAATTTTCTTTAGAATAGTTTTGATTATAGCTCATGTCTTTTTTTTGAACGAGCGTTCCTAATTATTTTAAACACCTGCCGACTTCTTTTTATGTCAATATATCTTTTATAGCCCAGTATATAAAAATTCACGACACATATAGATTCTTGTTATTTTATTCGTATTTCTGCCTTTCTGTGTCAAGCTATGTTATGTGGAATTGCTTGACTTGGTTGTCCTGGAAAAACATGGCTCTGAACATGGTCAACATGAATTTGGTTGTGACGAAGAGTGAGGAAAATTTTGGTGTAAGCGAAGATTGTGGTGACTAGACACATAGCTGTACCTATGTATTGGCACCATGAAGTTATAAGAGAATTCCAAAAAATAGTGCAGGCACTAACGATGGACAAAATCCATAAAGCAATCACAGTTATAAACGTTCTTCTCAAAGTTACAACTTTTCTGTATCTGAGCCCCAGTAACAAGGCGAGAAGTCTGTCCACGCTTATTGCAGTCAATGTTAATAAAGATACTGAACACAAAGTATAACCTGAGAAAGTTTGTGGCCTATTTGCGTAATAGCAAATATCCCATCTTTCTTTAACAGCAGAAGTCCAATAAGTCACAATCAAAGGCTCAGCAATGATACCAACACAGAGATCAGTTATCGCTATAGGTTACGATACAGGAGTTTGGACGGCGGATGAAGTGATGTTTCCTTGTGTAGGGCAACTAGGAACAGAGTGTTCCCCAAAAACGCTGCAATGGACAGAAAAATATTTAGAGCTGAAAGAAAGATAAGTTCGTTATCTACACCTCTGATTAATTCCACCGAGCAGTACAGTTCACTGAGTGTTTTCTTGTTTTCATATTCGGTAAAATTTGTCAGTGCCATATTCCTCTGCGAAGCTGAGCAGAGCAGGTGAGGACTTTATTTATACACCTGTTTCAATTAAGGCTGCTTCGGTGAAGAATGATGCATGATATCCATGTCATTCATAGTCCGCAATGAATTATGCACCCCGGCGACGAGCTACTGACGCCACTATGCTATGTCAGCAGAACGTTTAGAAAACGTATTTCAAAAAACACTGAGACCGAGGCCTTTTGCAGTTGCCGCTTTTTAGGATAGTGATTTGAGTCCAGGTTTTGCTCTGTGGTATTTTGCCATGTTTAACGCAAGCAACCTTAATTGAAATAGGTCTTTTGATTTGAGTGGAAGATGAAATCATTCTGGCATCTTCTAAATGGACAAATCTTGTAGGAAATAAAGTCTCAGCTGTCGCAAACGCGACAAACGTTATTACCTGAATTTTGGCACAATTTTGCTGTGTATGTTGCTATAAGTTGTAAAATATAAACAAATACTCCTGGAGTACTTCACCTGATGGACAGGCGATGAAGCTCTTTTCGAGTGAACTAACCCCATCATTATAGGATTTATCTCTCAGGAAACAAACCTTTCAAAAAAAACCTTTCCTACAACTCATAGAGGATATGTTTATTCCGATAAAAACACCTGTTTTCCCCCCCTTTTTTTTTTCGTGATAACTATAATTGGCCGTTTTTACCAGCTAGCGACGTTAAAGTCAAATGAGACCCATTTAACATTATAACTTCATGCAGGAGCAATTATAATGCTGATAATCAATTTAGTCCCCAGCACATTTAACTTAGAAAATGGGGGGACGAGGTTGGCCGATAATGGCTCCTGTTTCAATCTCAGACACCTGGACGCTTTTGAATAATTACATTTTAACTCCATCTCCGTTACCTTTTTTCGAGCATTCGTCGATGGAAGGCCGTAGGTTATACATCTTTAGTAAAATCCAACTAGTGGTCTATTATCAATGCTGCGTTCTGATTGGTTGAGCCACTACTAGGCTCTATGTTATACCCCACTAGTAGAGAAAAACGCGGGCTCTTTGGCGGCAAAAAAGATTAACGTCTCGTTTTAACTAGCTAAAATTGTTTTATTCTCGATATTTTTGACCAACTAGTTGGATTTTGCTCTCGCCCTCATGGGCTATTGACATAGAGCCCATTCGGGCTCGAAGAATAATTGTTAAATAGCGACTGGTCAAGGCAGCCTTTCGCTGCCTCACTTCATTTTACATTCTAATGAGGAGGGGATTTCGTGTTGGAAATCTGTTTTCTTTTGTTTTTCCTTGGACAGCTTTTTTTGTCGAAAATACGTAGAAATAATGTCTGATAATGTTGTCGATAGGTGGCTATGTCACGAATTTATTGCGGTTAATTCTAATTCAATTCTGTGCTCAAGTCATTACAAAGTGCCTTTAGCCATACACTACTAAAATGCTTCTGTAGACTAAGAATTATGAAAGATCATAACAAATAAATTTCCTGTGCATGATTAGCATGTAAATTTATTTTTTGGTTCGCTTTGTGTGTGTTTTTCTTTTTTCTTTTCTTTATTTTTCTTAAAGTTTTTCGTTGGCTTACTTCCTATACTTTTACGACCATAGACATGTTTTTTCACGTAAATATTATGGTCACACGTGGACTTTGTTTGTTTATTTTTTCCTTAACTCTAACTCCATTCCCCTTTGCCCGTTCCGCGTTAAGTAACATCCCTTCTGGCTTACATTCTGAAAAAAAACGATGGTTGGTCCTTTTTTTGGCAAAATATTATGTTCATATGGCGACTTTTTGGTAACGTTTGCGTGTGTTAAGCAAAATGCAAATGTTACTGTGTCTTTATTAAAACCATTTGATATACTCGCCCTCAGCACCTTATATACAAACATTGTTAATTTTTGAAGAGGCGATATTTTTGCGATTCTGATTATTTTTTACCAAAATGAACTAATGACCGATGTGAGTATTAATAAAAAATTGGCTCTTACCCGGTATAAACACCTATTATTTCTCCCGATGCCTTTTCCTCTCCGTTGCGTTATGAATAACTGACGTAGAATATAGCAATATACCGACTGATTTTCGACCTTTACCAGCCTTACTTCAGTAAGTAGTAGTGCTTTATACTGCCGCTAGGCTGTGTTCATGTTCGCTTTTATTTTTTACTGCCGCTCATTTTCACCTTGTTGGCCGCTCCTTGCTGGCCGCTAGCATTTCTCATTGTCTCACCGCCGCTTTGAATTTTCGTGTTTTCTTCCTACAAACTTCGTCTCTTTTGTTTTCAATCACTCGCTCTAGGTCCTTCTCTGTTATCCACGTGAGTGTAAACATCAAAACTAACGTCGAAAAAGACACGACTTTGTTATTGTTTTTTCTTTCTTAAAGTCCAGGCGGCCATGCGATTTCTTTCCAAATAAAACCTTGAGTTGCGCTTCGGTTGCCATACCTGTTGATTGAATTATTTACATTGGTATGCCTGTGGTGCGGATGGACTCTCGGGCGGTCGGGCGGTCGGGCGGTCGGTCGGTGTACGGTCAAGTGATTACCAAATTTTCTCGGATGGGTGGTTTCATATGAAACTCCTTGTTAACAGCAGGTCTCTCATATTTCCACTGACCACGCCCACAGTAGATCTCGGTCAAAATATTCCTAAAAATTGTAGTTTTTCCTTTCGTTATCTTTTCGTTTGAAGATTCATGACAAGTTACCTCCGGAATTCGAAAATTACACGTTTAACACATATCTTTTTTTTCGTTTTGTTGTCGGTTGCTGAAAAAAATCCACGGACTTTGGCGATTACTTTTGGCAAGTTGAGTGTTTTTTAGAACGCCCACAATGGGAAGATTTAAAAAATGTATAATATTCCCCTCGTTTCGGTACCAATTTCATCAATATTGACCAAAATTTTTCCACGGACCCACGGCCCTGAAGTTTTACTAATGGTCGCGTGTTTGCTGCTGTTGGTTCTGTCTTTAATACCAGGCAGCAAAGCAATTGGCAATGCGGATGGTACGGGAAGCAACGGTTCCTTCATTCCGACACGAAATAAACTAGTAAGTGTGCCTATTAATATCATCGTACTTCTGTGAACCTTTTATCTCCGTTTGAAGGTTTGGCTCAGGTACTGAGGCCTAGGATGTGAATTGATACAAAGGTACTATACCAGCCGTGAAAATATTGTTAGGTTAAAATCAGATTTGCGTTTTGAGTCAATAATATCCTATAATATTAACTTGCCGGGGTCTGCATTTTATTTCTTTCAGTTTTCTCATTTATACATTATGGCAAGGAGAATAAAAACGCAGAAATCGGTTACTAGTGCGCCATAGCCGCTGTCGTGAAATACATTTTTGAAGAATCTGGTGTTAGCGATGTTGTTGTTCACAGCCGTATTCTAAACGTCTTCAAAAAGATTTTGGTACTGCAAACGACTCATAGACGTGCGAGCAAAGGCAGGAGGAACATCACTGGCAAAGTTGTTGAATGGATGGAAAACAGGACCGAAATATCAATTCGAAATTTACTATAATGAAATTGAGGTGCAGAAGGTGAAGACACAGTGTGAAATCCTTCGAGGTCAAATAAGGAACCATAGTCACGCCACTCATCTCTATCTTCCCTAAAACCTTTGTAGTGAATTTTGATTCTTTTCTTCTCTTTATCGACCTCGCGAATTTCAATTTCATACAGTTGGTTGTCCTTTCTCATTTTATTTTTGTTCTCAGCTTTAAACACTGGTAAATACTCGTCAACCTCGCTCCGCCATTTCATTAGATCATTCATGTATGATCACTAAATATCAAATGTTCATCGATGTATGACAAGAGTTTCATATGCCACATTTTCTTACCCATGGTGCTAAGCTGCGCGCGAGAGCTCCGCTACGAAACCCGTTTGCCTTAAATAGCATTGTTGCACTCTTTTCGTCAGACAGCGTGATCAAATAAGAGTTTTTAGGGGTAATCTTAGCAGCAAGACGCTTAAGTGTCATATTTCGTTAATTATTTACTGTTAAACCCATGTCTGTCATGTACCATCTGTTGTAAATGACCTTTGATCTCAAATTTAGGCTCCTCTGAGAACTCGCCGGCATACGATGCTACTAATGAGGGCGCTAGAAAAGCAATTGCAAGTTATTACCGGTCTTTCTTGATCTTCTTACAATCTACGTCCCAATATTATACTTGCCAACTTTTTGTGAGTCAAATGCGTGAGATTTTCACCTTTTCATGACCGGGATTTCCGGAAACAACCCGGCTAATCTCGAATATTTCCGACGAATTTCCGAAGACTTCCGAACGTTACCGAAATTTAAATGTACGCAGATATTCCGGAAGACGATGGAGCACTTCCTAAGCTATTTAAAAAACGACAATTTTAGGGTGCTTTGATTTCGTTCGACAAGAAAAAGAACACAAAGTCATCATGTGTTTAAGAATAATTTGTCCGGATTTGTGAGTCAGGCGTGAGACTAAGGATTGTCCTCGATGCCTGAGATTGATGTCTTTAGTCCACAGGCATGATGCGTGTACAATATTCTGAAGGTATAAATTTTGATTGGCTTATTTAATGGTTGGAAAAGACTTAAGAAATGGAGGCTCACTTGAAATGCTTATATGTACAACAGCAAAACTGATAAAAAACTTTGGTACAATTGCATCAGTTTTCGAATTTGTGTTTAATTTACATTATATGTGCCTTTCAAGCTAGAAGTCGCATCAAAAATATACAAATAAGTTTCATCGTTAATCATTAATAACCATTTAACTGACAACTAACAAAAAGCCTAAAATGTAGCTTACAACTGACAAATGGCCACAATTTTAACTGACCGCTGACATTTGTACCCCCCCCCCTCCCCCCCCGCATCCAGACCCTCTTTTAGTAACTTATGTAATAAGCCAAGGCTAGGTATTTACACGGTTATTTTATTTCCTAATTTTTTGAACAGTAATTATCACGATCCTGTTTCTAACGAAAAAACCAAAGAGCTCTTGAGTTTTATTTTGTTCTTTTAAGAAACAAAAAGTTGCAATCAGACTCGAGGTCGTTCAGTTTTTCAAGCTTACGCCGAACATTAATGAGCCTGCTGAAACAACTCACTGACGATTTTATTTAGTATTTAGCCCTGTAGCCCAAAAGGAATCTTAACAGTGGGCGCCCAAATAACATGTCAAACTGTGTGGGCTTAACTGTTATGTTCTTATAAGATCTAAAATGAAGACTTCCCCGACTGACAACTATACTCTTTTCTCATAGCTATATAACGGACATGTTAATTCTGATACAAATACAGTCGAAGTTCTCCTTGCGACCACTCTCGTTTTACAAGCGACCATCTCTAGTTTCACTTAACGAGGATTACCATGAATTAACAGCTACAATCATGGACAAAAGTCTTGGGACACTTTTGCGTTTCTCGGGCGTTTTCCAATTCATACAGATCCACAACCCCTCCCCTCCCCTCACCCCACAAACAATGTTGGACGCGTATATCCAGAATTTTTTCCGAGTTTCAACTTTTTTATAGGGTGGGGGGAGGGAGAACTGCAAAAAAAATTCGAAAATGATGCACTGTTTTAAGAGGAAACCGAGAAATGACAGAAAAATATGAATATTGCAGCACTGTCCCAAGGACTATGGTGAAGGATTGTAGAATACATAGAAGACCAACTCGATCAACAGAAGAGTTGCCTTAGTGTTTCTTTCACAGCTTGCCTCACTTGCCTCATCTTCCAACAGTACAGAAAGGGGTTTAAGGATGAGTTTAAGTAAACGATGGTACCCGCAAAATTTCGAGCAAGGTAGCTCGATAAAGGCATCCCTCTCTGAGGTGTCAAAGCGACCGCTATACCAAACGGCAGATAACAAACAACCAATGTTACCTGTATCCACAGTGCACTGTTCACTGCCTTTCTGTATCGAGCTATGTTAAGTGGAATTGCTTGGCTTGGTTGTCCTGGAAAAACATGGCTCTGAACAGGGTTAACATGAATTTGGTTGTGACGTAGAGTGAGGAAAATTTTGGTGTAAGCGAAGATTGTGGTGACTAGACACAGAGCTGTACCTATGTATTGCCACCATGAAGTTATAAGAGAATTCCAAAAAATAGTGCAGGCAGCAATGATGAACAAAATCCAAAAACCAGTCACAGTTATAAACGTTCTTCTCAAAGTTACAACTTGTCTGTATCTGAGCCCCAGTAGCAAGGCGAGAAGTCTGTCCACACTTATTGCAGTCGATGTTACTAAAGATACTGCACACAAAATATAACTTAAGAACATTTGTGCCCAATATGCGTGATAGCAAATATCCCATCTTTCGTTCACAACAAAAGTAAGGTAAGTCACAGTCAAAGGCTCCAAAATGATACCAACACAGAGATCAGTTATCGCTAGGTTACGATACAAGAGTTTGGACGGCGGATGAAGTGAAGTTTCCTTGTGTAGGGCAACTAGAATCAGAGTGTTCCCCAGAAATGCAGTGACGGAAAGAAAAATATGAAGAGCTGAAAGGAATATAAGTTCGCCATCTACACCTCTGATTAATTCCACCGAGCAGTACAGTTCATCGACTGTTTTCTTGTTTTCATATTCGGTAGAATTTGTCGGTGCCATATTTCTGAGCCGGGAAGTGAGGGCTTTATTCATCCATCTATTTCAATTAAGGTTGCTTCGGTGAAGAAGGATGCATGATGCATGATCCACGTTTCATAACTATATACGTTAAATTGTCGCGTATTAATAAACAATGATCAGCAGTCATTTATAGAGTCATAAACGTGCAAAAACTATTAACTAAACGTAAAGAAAAAGCTCACAGGGCCAAAGTTGTCTCGATACTTTTTCAATCTAACTGACCGAGCTATGAGCCAGGTGTCATGTCACAGGAAACTTAAACTCAAGGATGATTTCAATAACTTTTTAGGTCTTATGTTGGCGGCGCATTGGTAACTTGACGTCGCAGTAAATACAATTTGAAGGAAATTCCAATAACTCAAGTTTTTTAAAAGTTTATGATAAGCTTGAGCCATCACTCCTTCCCAAAAATTAAGCGATATACTGTATATACACCTAATTGCAATTGCGTTGTCATAGTTAAATCAGTTAAAAGGAACTGAAATTAAAAATGCAAAAAACAAATCGAAATTAGTTAGGCTTACCGTTAAACCGCTATATAGTGAATTTATTTTCGACATACGCGTACTGACTTCACTTCTATGCCCCCAAAACGCCTACGCAACAAATAAATGCTCCGGTTTTTCTAACTCCTTTCTAGATTTATTAGCAGGCCTAATTAATTCCTATTTGGCTTTTTCTATTTTCATTTCTCCTTTACCATTTTTCTAAGACATGTTCATGGCAATCAGGTGTATATGCACTACGCACTGACCACACATATGGTTAAGATGGCTGGAAAAAGATATCCACATGTTTACAACAATTAGCACTCAATTAGGGATCTCAGTGCATGTGCTTTCACGAGGTTATTTTATTTGTTAATTCTTCTGTAATTACCACGATCCGTGTTTCAAACAAAAACAAAAACAAAAGAGATGAGTTTTATTTTGTTTTTAAAAGTCGTATTCAGGGTTTAGCAAAAACAATGAAGTGTTTCAAGCTGACACCGAACTTTAATGAGCCTGTTGAAAGTAACTCACTGACGATTTTAATGCGTTTTCAGTAGTAAAGGGAGTTAAAAACAGTAGGTAAACACATCAAACTGTGTGGGCTGCGTTAATTTTGTTGTCTGTTATGGATGTGAGATAATGACCGTTGTAAATTCTTCTTGTTTTAATTTTTCCTACAAAACTGTGAGGAAAAAAAATAATTCTGTTTTTAGTCGTACCACACAAGGGAAAAGGATTCAGCGAAGTTGTCTAGTTTTTCAAACAAACATTAGTCGAACTATAATGAGCCAGGTGAAGTGAAACTGACTCACGAGCCATTTTAATGACTTTTTAGGTCTTAATATAATGTCGGTGCAAAAAGTCTGTATGACGTTTTCTTCATTAACATCGCTGTCCGAGTTCCAGCAATTCGGCTAATTCAACATATTAAGCTGCATGCAAATATGCTTGAGTCATCAGAATTTTCCTAACAGAGCGTAATACATGTGAGTTATTAAACCCAATTCAGATGGCTGGAAAAAGAAACTTGGCAAGAGCCTTTAGTTTTTGGGTCTGTTATGAAACTCGGGGCAAAACGAGCGCTGTTGAAAACTTTATAACGACATCTCGTTTAGTAAACATTCGACTATACTGGGGCTATACTTGTTATGTACATGTATAAACTATTTAAATTGCTAATCGTGCGCGGCCAGCTTTTAATTTGACCGTGCACAGAGTTTCCTTGTAGAAAGGAAATTTTGACAGTCCAAACATGTCAAACTGGTTTAATTATAATTTCGGGTCGGTTGAGATAGGTTTCGATTGAGTGAGCCCCATAACTATCAATAATAGTTAAGTATAAAATACAGATATCCATTCTAACTTGCAACTAAGAAAAATTTTCTTTAGCATAGTTTTGATTATAGCTCATGTCTTTTTTTTAAACGAGCGTTCCTAATTATTTTAAACACCTGCCGACTTCTTTTTATGTCAATATATCTTTTATAGCCCAGTATATAAAAATTCACGACACATATAGATTCTTGTTATTTTATTCGTATTTTTAACTGTCCAACTCATCCTTTACTAAAGCAAAATAGCGATATCTATAAGGACACACGTTTCGTTTAAGTGAACGAAACCCCATAACTATCAATAATGCTTGAGTATAAAATAAAGATATTCACTATGGTAACAATATTTGTTTACCAACTTCGATTATCACCTCAATTTGTCTTTTTTTAATAAAGCGGCCTTAACCATTTTAAACACCTGCTGACTGCTTTTTATGTTAATATAATATGTTTTTAGCCCAGCAAATAAATTCTCGACACACAGATTCTTGTTATTCGTACTTTTGATTTTCTTTTCTTTTCTTCCAACAACTCAGAGAGGAAGCGAAATATCGACTGTTCGTTGTTGTTTTTTTTCAACCGCTTATTTATAACAATTTATTTTTGCTTTTTTGCAGCCCCAGACAAAGGATAGTATTGTCTAACCAAAATATCGGGCAATTAAATAGTACCCTACCCTAAAATTCCTAAAATTAAGCCCCGGGGCTTATATTTCACAAAGGCCCTTTTCGAGGGGCTTATTTTTGGAGCGGCTTATATTCGGAGGGGCTTAACTACGGAGGGAAATTTGCGTTTCAAAATCGATTGGGCTAGCCTTATAGTTGGAAAGAAATTTACCGTTTCTGCTTTGTTTTACTTTGTATTTGAGGGCAATTTTCCAGGTACAAGCCCCCGGGGTAATATTTGGAGGGGCGATTTAACAGAGGGTTCTTTGCGTTACCGGTTTGGGGGCTTCTATTTGGAGGGGCTTATACCTGGAGGGGCTTATTTTCGGAATTTTACGGTATCTTTTGGCTGCCAGCTTCCATTTGCTTTTATCTTGTACCCCTATCATAATAAAGCTAGGTTTTTCGGGTATATTACATAGTACGATGGTAGAACTTCTTTTCAAAACATTTAAATGTGGTCGTGTGGATTTGCTTTCACGCCAAAAGGAAACATTTTTCCGTAAACAAAAACGCATGTGTGACACATACTACTAATTTTCTTTTGTGACCTGTTTGGCAAAATGCAAAATGTTATTGTGTAGTCAATACCCACAGAAGTTTACTAAAACAACTATCTTGCCACATCTTATACACAACAAATACGTGTACAACAGAAATTGAATTGCTTACGTCCCAGGCCTTCTTGCTATGCGTTTTGTTTACGTTAGTCCCGCGGACTAATGAGCCTGGGGACTAGGCAATCCAATAACCTCGCTGGGCTCTTGGGAAGGCAACCCGTGCTGGCTTTAAACGTCGATGCGCTTTTAATATCTTTCATTTGCATGCTAATGTTACTTATTCTGAGTTTACACCAAGAAAGAACTGATAGGGATAAAATTAAGAGATTCAGTTTTTTTGGAAATGAAATCTCATTATTGGAAACATTAACGCTGATGACGTCAAATATGGCCTTTTGTCTTTATCTCATGAACAAAATGCAGGGGAATCTCATTATGAAAAGGTCATGTACTACTTTTAAGTGGTTTAACTGGTTTGACAGGCTTTGTATCAAGTAACAAGTTATTCAAGTTTCAAGAAGGAGAAGAAGAAGAAGAAGAAGAAGAAGAAGAAGAAGAAGAAGAAGAAGAAGAAGAAGAAGAAGAAGAAGAAGAAGAAAGGGAATGGAGCCCTTAAACTCTATTTCTTTGTTAGCTCTTTATTCTTGACGGAAACAACTTTATGCCACTAAATAATAAAGATAACACGATCTTTGGATTTCTAGAACTGGAATATTTATAATATACTCGCCCCTGAAAAACAGGTGACATGCCTTCATAAAAATGCGTGCAGTACAATATATTTACAGTCAATATCATCGAGGATTCAAGCAGGAATTAAGAGCTGGCAAGAGAGAGCTGGAAAGCCCAGAAAACTAACTCGATCAACAGGAGAGTTGCCTTAATGTTTCTTTTACAGCTTGCCTTACTTCTCTGATCTTCCAGCAGTACAACAACGGGTTTAATGCCGAGTTTAAACAAACCGTGGTACCAGTAAAAATAATAGCAAGGTAAGAAGATAACGACATCTCTTTTTGAGATGATAACGCTATAGCTATGTTATATGGGAAATAACAAATAACCAATATTAACTGTACCCACAGTGCACTGTTAACCGCTTTTCTGTATCGAGCTATGTTCAGTGGAATGGCTTGGTTCGGTTGTCCTTGAGCAACATGGTTCTGAACATGAATTTGGTTATGACGCAGAGAGAAAAAAATTTTTGTGTAAGCGGAGATTGTGGTGACTAGACACAGAGCTGTAACGATGTGTTGATACCACCAAGTTATAAGAGTATTCCAAAAGGTTGTAGAAGCTCCGACAATGCACATAATCCATACATAATCCATAAACCAACATGGCTCTGAACGTGGTCAACATGAATTTGATTGTGACGCAGAGTGAAGAAAATTTTTGTGTAAGCGAAGATTGTGATGAATAGGCATAGAGCTATACCTATGTACTGAGAAGATGAAGTTATAATAGGATTCCAAAAGAAACTAGACGCACCAACAATAGACAAAATCCAAAAACCAATGACAGTTACACGTGTCCTTTTCAAAGTAACAACTTGTCTGTATCTGAGCCCCAGCAACAAGGCGAGAAGTCTGTCCACGCTTATTGCAGCCAGTGTCAATAAGGACACATCACACAAAGTATAACCTGAGAAAAATAATGCCAGAACCGTGTAACAGCAAATATCCCATCTTCGGTTCACAACAGAGGTCAAGCAAGCTATAACCAAAGGCTGTGTAATTATACACACAGAGATCAGTTCTCGCTAGGTTACGATACAGGAGTTTGGACGGCGGATGAAGTGAAGTTTCCTTGTGCAGAGCAACTAGGATCAGAGTGTTCCCCAGAAACGCTGCAATGGACAGGAAAATGTTTAGAGCTGAAAGGAAGATAAGGTCGCCATCTACACCTCTGATTAATTCAGGCGAGCACAAGAGTTTAACAAATGTTTTCTGATATTTTTCATCTTCGGTGAAATTCGTTAGTGCCATATTGTTCCTCTGAGACACAATGACCTGCAAGTCAGTGTTTTATATAAATGCTACATTTCAATTTGGGTGAAAGCAGATACTGTATCAATTTGTCATTTGTCAAGTCAACTATTTGCCTAAACGCGCAAGATACATTGTAATTCCCTTTGCACATTCGTCGCGTCAGGCACATTCGTTGCGACACGTAGATATTTATTTTTTGGCAACTAATATAATTTGCAGTCTGTTTACTTTGAATTATAATTATTTATCAGAAGCAATTTACAAAAAGCATAAACGTGCAAAAATAAATGTAAAGGAAAGCTCGCAGGACAAAGAAAGGTTGAGCAAAGTTGTCTCGGTACTTTTTCAATCTAGCACGGAAATATGATTAGGCAGGTGTTATGTCACAGCACAAATGATTTTAATAACGTTTTTGGGTTCTTATATATGTTGGCGGCGCATTGGCAACAAGACATCGCAGTAACTCGATGGAAATTCCAATAACTCAAGATTTTTTTTCAAGTTCAATGTAAGTTTGAGCTATCACTCCGTCCCAGCAATTAAGCGAAGTATGTACACACCTAATTGCAATAGCGCTTTCACAGTTAAATCAACTAAAAGGAAATGAAATTAAAAAATGGAAAAATCCAAATGGAAATTCAGAATTAGATACCTTTAAACCACTGTAGGATGAATTTATTTTGAACTTAGACGCACAAATTTTCCCTTGGCATTTGCTTTTACTTCCCTAAAATGCCTATGGAGCAAACGAGTCCACCCTTTCTAGATTTATTAGCAGACCTACGCTCGACTGGATTTTTTGGGAGGGATACCGTATTTATTCAAATAAGCGCCCAACCTCGATTTAGCGCCCACCTCGAATAAGCGCCCATCCTAAAGGCAGAAAAAGTTAATAAGCGCCCAGCCTCGAGTAAGCGCCCACCCCACCCCCAAAAAATTGAATAAGTACTAATAAGAGACTTCCCCGAAGATGGAGTTTTCTTCAAAGTATTTTACAGGAACCTTGCTTTGTTACATCTTAGCGTTTGGTTGTTACCATTTATTGTTTTGTTGCAGAATAAACATACTACACTTGCTGAAAATGTGGAAAGTTTATTAAGCGCCAAGCCTCGAATAAGCGCCCACTCTCAAGGTCCAAAAATTTAATAAGCGCCCAGGGGCGGTTAATCGAATAGATACGGTACCTCCGAAGTTTGAGGATTAACTACGTTGCCATGAGTAAAGATATGGGAAAAAGATTACCACAACTTTATCATATAAAAATGAAAATTTCTTATGATCTGGATTTTATTGCAATCGGAGTCACCATGGCAACGTAACAACGCCATTACGTTTTTTATTTATCTTTGTGTTTCTCTGTACCAGGAGTTTTTTTTAAGAAATCGCTTAAGGGAGTTTGTACCTGCCATAATTGCCTCAATTATGTCAAAGTTTGAACAAATTCTATGAGAGCGTTTTCGAAATATTTTGAAACGAAGTTTTAAGCATCATAAAAACTGTGAAATAGCATGCTATCCACACAATTAGCTACTTTTTTAAGAAAATGATAAGCTTTGGAAACGCGGCTTCATCTCATAGTGGTTTGATTCCATTGAAAACAGCGTACAAGAAAAGAGGGGAATTGCTATGGGCGATCGCAAGTAAGAAGAATTTTATCAACTTGCATTCAGCTGCTTTTGTTACAGTTTTTGCACGTAATTTGGTCCATGCCTACAATTTTCGCATTTTTCAAAAAACCGCTCGATAAATTTTTTTGTTTATTAAGCTCAGTTAGGTGTATATGCGCATGCGCTTCCTATACTGACCACCGCTTGAAGTTAACATGGCTGGAAAAAGGTACAAACATGTTCGCAACAATTAGGGTAACTTTTAAGGGAGGGGGGAGGGGGGAGGGGGGGGAGGGGAGGGGGCGAGGGGGCGGCTGTACACAGGTTAAACTTTAATGAGCTCGGTGAAACTAACTAACTGACGATTTTAATGAGTTTTCAGTTCTGTAACCGAAAGAAAGTTCTTAACAGTCGGCAAACACGTCAAACTATTTGGGATGCGGTAATTCAGTGGTGTCTCTTGTTATATTACAAGACTGTAAAATGAATAACACTCTTTTCTTATACATAACGGATATGTTAATTCCCGCCGATAAAACACCTGCTATTTTAATGCGCTGACGATAAGTGAACTTACGCAACAGGACGGGAGAGGAAAGAAGACAGCAAACCTTGTGTGACAAGCGTGTCAATAATTTTGATTGAAATATCTTTCCGCCAAATCTTTCCTTTAACACGCAAGTTATAGCGGGCCCTGTCACGTTTGTCACACACGGTAATTTTGTTTGAAAAAAAATTGGCCTCACAATTCATCTTCCTTTAAACAGATCTTTTTGTAAAACGACCAAAAAACATTGACATTTAGTGAAGATTAAGACAAAACACGCAAGTAAAAGCCCTGTCACGTTTGCCACACATAAGCGTTTTTCTGCCGTCCTGTTTCCGCCGTCCTGTTGTAGGTAGCTTAATTATTTAATTTAAAAAAGACGATGGTATCAAGGACTAGAATACAAAGTGGAAAAGCTCGAGTATAAGAAGCTTGGAGGTCATTCAGCCAAGGATCAGAATCAAATTCGAACTTCCAGTTGAACTCCCAGTTGGTAAATAAACCATCCCGGATCAGTCCACACCAAGTTTTACAGTCGTCTTTGATTAATACAATCTACCATTTCTTAGTGAAAAATTATCAGGGGAGGGGAGGGGGGCTTCATAGAAAGGGGGGCTTATTAATTTTCTTCCCCTGAGGCTTATTAGGATTTACGGTATTTGATAAAGTAGACCAAAATGTTTACAAAAACGCCAACAAGAGCGGCCTTAATGCATGCTAATCAAATCCCTCTTTGTAGCAATCGCCCAAAGCTTTATTTCCCCATGATCTTTTAACACCTGTTACGAAGCGCTTCCACGGCCGAACATTGATATTGTCCAGTTTTCACTGAACTTTTAATCCAAAATATTTCGATAACGCTCTCTTAGACTGATTTCGCTCAAAATTCAAGAACATTGAGGCAGGTGTTGGAGGAACAAGCTACCGTGAACGATTTTGGAAAAAATATACCTCCCGGTGTCGAGAAATACGGCGGCAAGTAAAATAGGTAATGACGTCATTCCGTTGCTATGACAACTCCGATGTCATCGTAACATCAATCATAACAAATTTCCTTCTTTATGTAACTCATCTGTGGTGGTTATTTTTGCAAGTCTCAGTTGAAGGTAACGTAGTTAATGCTCAAACTTGGGTGATATTGCCCATGAAAAACCGCATCGAGTATGTAATTAAATCTATAATTTCATGTTGCTGGTATGTTGCTGGTATTTATTTTTTCAGTATATTTTAGTTAATTTTTATATTCATAATTTTATTTCGTTAGGGCTCCCGTTTGTATCTGTTCTGCTCTAGGTGCAATAGATTCGTTGATAAATATTTATAAGAAGGTAAAAGAAAACCAGTATGAGGTATGAGTTATTAACTATACTTATCATCCTTGGCTCTTCTACAGTAAAAAAGGTCACAACAGAGGATTTTTCCTAGAAAATACACTTCAATTTAGCATGAATTAACAGGCAGAATGCATACAAAACTAACTCGATCGACAGAATAGTTGCCTTAATGTTTCTTTTACAGCTTGCCTTACTTCTCTGATCTTCCAGCAGTACAACAACGGGTTTAAAGATGAGTTTAAGTAAACTACAGTTCCTGTATATTGCCTGGCAAGGTAAATTGGCAAGGTTATCCCTCTTTGAGGTGTTATCGCCACCACTACAACAAACGGCAGATAACAAAAAACCAATGTTCCCTGCACCCACAGTGCACTGTACACTGCCTTTCTGTATCGAGCTATGTTCAGTGAAATTGCTTGGCTTGGTTGTCTTCTAAAAACATTGCCCTGAACGTGGTCAACACGAACTTGATTGTGACGCAGAGTGAAGAAAATTTTTGTGTAAGCGAAGATTGTGACGAATAGGCATAGAGCTATACCTATGTACTGAGAAAATGAACTGATAATAGGATTAAAAAAAAAACTAGATGCAGCAACAATGGACAAAATCCAAAAACCGATTGCAGTTATACACATTCTTCTTAAAGTTACAACTTGTCTGTACCTGAGTCCCAGCAACAAGGCGAGAAGTCTGTCTAAACTTATTGCAGTCAATGTAACTAAAGATACTGAACACAACATTTGACCTGACAATCTTGCTGCCCAATTTGCGTAATGGCAAATATCCCATCTTTCGTTCACAACAGAAGTAATGTAAGTCACATACAAAGGTTCTGCAATGATACCAACACAGAGATCAGTTATCGCTAGGTTACGATACAGGAGTTTGGATGGCATATGAAGTGAGGTTTCCTTGTGTAGGGCGACTAGGATCAGAAAGTTCCCCAGAAATGCTGCAATGGAAAGAAAAATATTTAGAGCTGAAAGGAATATAAGCTCACTGTCTACACCTCTGACAAATTCTGCCGAACAGTCTAGTTCTTGGACAGTTTTATGGTTTGCGTCTTCAGTAAAATTTTTCAGGGCCATTTTCCTCTTCGACGCAATGACCTGCAAGTGAGAGTTTTATTTGTGTATACTATTTTAATTTGGGTGAAAGCTGATATCATTTCGACATCTCTACAGTCAAAACTATTCACTTAAATAGGCTATATACGTTCATTTGTCGCGCATAAATAAATAATGATCAGAAGTAATTTATAGAGTCATAAACGTGCAAAAACTATTAACTAAACGTAAAAGAAAAAAGCTCACAAGTCTAAGCAAAGGTCGAGTAAAGCTAAGTTCAACTCAAACTGTAGATTTAATGCACATTCGTATTTTGAACGAGCACTTGTGCTCTTAGACGATAACGTGGTTAAATAAGTTATAATTGTTATTGTTTGCTAATTCATCTGTAATTATCACGCCTGTAATTATCACGATCCGTGTTTCAAACAAAAGCAAAAGAGATGAGTTTGTTCATAAAAGTTGTAGTCAGGGTTTAGCAGAAACAATGAAGTGTTACAAGCTGACACCGAACTTTAATGAGCCTGTTCAGGAAACTAACTCACTGACGATTTTAATGAGTTTTCAGTAGTAAAGGAAGTCTTGATAGTCGGCAAACGCGTCAAACTGTGTGGGCTGCGGTAATTTTGTTGTCTGTTATGGATGTGCGATAATGACCTTTGTCAATTCTTCTTGTTTTAATTTTTATCAACTTTTTCTACAAAACTTTGAGGAAAAAAATTAATTCTGTTTTTAGTCGTACCACACGAAGAAAAAGGATTCAGAAAATTTGGCTAGTTTTTCAAACAAACATTAGTCGAACTATAATGTGCCAGGTGAAACTGACTTACGGGCCATTTTAATAACTTTTTAGGTCTTAATATGTTGTCGGTGCAACAAAGTCTGCATGGCGTTTTCTTCATTAACATCGCTGTAAGTTCCAGTAATTCGGCCAATTCAACACAAGCTACATGCAAATATGCTTGAGTCATCAGAATTTTCTTAGCAGAGCACAATACATGTGAGTTATTAACCGAATTCAGATGGCTGGAAAAAGAAACTTGGCAAGAGCCTTTATTTTTTGGGTCTGTTATGAGAAACAAAACGCGAGCTGTTGAAAACTTTATAATGACATCTTGTTTAGTAAATATTCGACTAGGCGATAATTATTATACACATGTATAAACTATTTCAACATGAAAGTTAATCAATGAAATTGCTAATCGTGGGCGGCCAGCTTTGACAGACGTTTGCATAGAGTTTACTTGTAGAAAGGAAGTCTTAACAGTCCAAACATGTCAAAGTGGTTTGTTTATGAATTTTGGGGTCGGTTGAGATAGGTTTCGATTGAGTGAGCCCCATAACTATCAATAATAATTAGGTATAAAATAAAGATATCCACTCTAACTTGCAACTAAGAAAAAGTTTCTTTAGATAGTACATGTCTTTTTTTAAACGAGCGTCCCCTAATCATTTTAAACTCCTGCCAACTTCTTTTTATGTCAATATATGTTTTATAGCCCAGTATATAAAAATTCACGACACACATACAATTAGATTCTTGTTATATTATTCGTATTTTTAATTGTCAAACTCATCCGTTACTAAAGCAAAATAGCGATATCTATAAGGAAACACGTTTCGTTTAAGTGAACGAAACCCCATAACTATCAATAATGCTTGGGTAAAAAATAAAGATATTCACTATGGCAACAATATTTTTCTACTAATTTTGATTATCACCTCAATTTGTCTTCTTTTAACATAGCGGCCCTAACCATTTTAAACACCTGCTGACTGCTTTTTATGTTAATATATGTTTTTAGCCCAGCCAATAAATTCTCGACACACAGATTCTTGTTATTCGTACTTTTGATTTTCTCTTCTTTTCTTCCATGGAGGAAAGCGAAATATCGACTGTTCGTTGTTGTTTTTTTCAACCGCTTATTTATAACAATTTATTATTGCTTTTTGCAGGCCCAGACAAAGGATAGTATTGTCTAACCAAAATATCGGGTAATTAAATAGTACCCTTCCGTAAAATTCCGAAAATAAGCCCCGGGGCTTATATTTTTCAAAGGCCCTTTTTGAGGGGCTTATTCTTGGAGCGGCTTATATTCGGAGGGGCTTAACTTCGGAGGGAAATTTGCGTTCCAAAATCGATTGGGCTAGCCTTATAGTTGAAAGGAAATTCACCGTTTCTGCTTTGTTTTACTGTGTATTCGAGGGCAATTTTCCGAGTACAAGCCCCCGGGATAATATTTTGAGGGGCGATTTAACGGAAGGTTTTTACGTTACCGGTTTGGGGGCTTATATTTGGAGGGGCTTTTTTTCGGAATTTTACGGTATCTTTTGGCTGTCAGCTTGCATTTGCTTTTACGTTTTATTCTCATTACTGATCCTGATCTAAACCTACCAAGATCCGGCTTTACTCCGCGGTCGTTTGTCCAAGTGGTTAAGCATTATTTAACAGTTAGTACTTACCGATAAAGTTCTTGTACCCCTATCATAATAAAGCTACAATTGTAGGTTTTTCGGGTATATGACATAGTACGGTGGTAGAACGTTTTTGCAAAACATTTAAATGTGGTCGTGTGGATTTGCTTTCACGCCAAAAGGAAACATTTTTTTCGTAAACAAAAACGAATTTGTGACACACGTTAAAAATTTTCTTTTGTGACCTGTTTGGCAAAATGCAAAATGTTATTGTGTAGTCAATACCCACAGTAGTTTACTAAAACAACTATCTTGCCACATCTTATACACAACAAATACGTGTACAGTAGAAATTGAATTGCTTACGTCCCAGGCCTTCTTGCTATGCGTTTCGTTTACGTTGGCCCCGCGGACTAATGAGCCTGGGGACTAGGCAATCCAATAACCTCGCGGGGCTCTTAAGGTGCCTCGATACAGTTTTTCAGGGTCAATATCTCCCAAGTTTGAGCATAAACTACGTCGCTATAAACAAAGTTTTGGAAAAATTGCCACCACAGTTGTATTAGATGAAGATGAAAATTTGTTCTAATCAGGGTTGCAACAGCATCGGAGTTGTCATAGCAACGAAATGACGCTATTACCTATTTTACTTGCAGCAGTATATCTCGGCACTGCGAACTGTTCTTCGAAAATCATTCACGGGAGCTTTTTCCTCCAATAGCAGCCTCGATGTTCGTTAAGTTTAAGCGAAATCTGTAAGAGCGTTATCGAAATATTTTGGGATAAAGATTTTGTCGTTAGAAATACGGTAATAAATGGACAATCTTGGCGTTCGGCTTTTATCTGTAGAAAACGTAGCGCTTTTGACATGCAATTTCACCTCATAGTAGTTTTAATCTTTATAAAAACGTGTGTGAAAGATCAAGGAGATAGCTCCAGCCGATTGCTAGAAAGAAGGATTTGATTAGTATGTATCCAGGGGCTCTTGTAAGCGGTTTTTTGAACATTTTGGTCTACTTTAACAAATTAGCGAATAATTTTTAAACCGCTCGATAGATTTTTTAAAAAATTTAAGATTCTTGAGATTAACCTCCCTTTTATATGACCTTTTAGTTTCAAGATTATTGATATATTGTAAGGCAGTAAAATAAGGGCTACAATTCGCTAATATTTTGGCAGAAAGTTTGTGTTTACAAGTGTGAGCCTCTCATTATTCAGGGTATTGTGTCCAACTTTCATATTTTCGTGCACAACAATAGCTAGCATTTTTGCATATTTCAAATGCATTGTTAGTTACTGCTGTTCACGTGAAAATGAGAGTTGGAGACAATGCCTTGAATAATTAGAGGCTTTCACCTGTAATGACGAAACTTCCGATAAAAAAGTAACGAATTTTAGCCCTTATTTTACTGCGTTACAATATATCAATAATCTTGAAACTAAAAGGTCATATAAAAGGGAGGTAAATCTCACGAATCTTAAATTTTTAAAAAAATCTATCGAGCGGTTTAAAAATTATTCGCTAATTTTTTAAAGTAGATCAAAATGTGTACGAAACCGCTAACAAGAGCGCTTCGATAAATACTAATCAAACCTTTTTTTCTAGCAATCGGCTGGAGCTATCCCCCATGGTCTTTCACACATGCTTTTAAGAAGATTGAAACTACTATGAGGTGAAATTTTATGCCGAAAGCGCTTCATTTTCTACAGATAAAGGCCAAACAACAATATTGTCCATTTTTTACTGTGTTTCTAACAATAAAAAATTTATCCCAAAATATTTCGATAACGCTCTTACAGATTTCGCTTAAACTTCATGAACATCGAGGTTGGTATTGGAGGAAAAAGCTCCCGTAAATGTTTTTCGAAGAACAGTTCCCAGTGCCAAGATATACTGCTGCAAGTGAAATAGGTAATAGCGTCATTTCGTTGCTATGACAACTCCGATGCCGCTACAACCCTTATCATAACAAATTTTCTTCTTTATCTAATACAACTGTGGTGGCAATTTTCCCAAAACTTTGTTTTTGGCGACGTAGTTTATGCTCAAACTTGGGAGGTATTGACCCTGAAAAACTGTATCGAGCCACCTTGAGGGAGGGCAACCCGTAGGATGTGTTAATCATTAAAGACATGCTTTTACCAGTATCAGAGGCAATTTTATTTAGGTTAATATGTTGAATGCTCAGAAAGTGCTGGCTTTAAACGTTGATGCGCTTGGGATGAAATTAAGAGATTCAGTTTTTTTGGAAATGAAATCTCATTATTGGAAACATTAACGCTGATGACATCATATATAGCCTTTTGTCTTTATCTCATGAACAAAATGCGGGGGAATCTCATTACGATAAGGTCATGTACTACTTTTAAGTGGTTTAACTGGTTTGACAGGCTTTGTATCGAGTAACAAGTGATTCAAGTTTCAAGAAGGAGGAGGAGAAGGAGAAGGAGAAGAAGAAAAGGAATGGAGCCCTTAAACTCTATTTCTTTGTTAGCTCTTTATTCTTGAAACAACTTCATGCCACTAAATAATAAAGATAACATGATCTTTGGATTTCTAGAACAGGAATATTTATAATATACTCGCCCCTAAAAAACAGGTGACATGCCTTCATAAAATATGCGTGCAGTACAATATATTTACAGTTAATATCAACGAGGATTCAAGCAGGAATTAATAGCTGGCAAGAGAGAGCTGGAAAGCCCAGAAAACTAAGTCGATCGACAGAATAGTTGTCTTAATGTTTCTTTTACAGCTTGCCTTACTTCTCTGATCTTCCAACAGTACACTGAATAACGGGTTTAATGACGAGTTTAAGTTAACCATTGTACCAGTACAAAACACAGCAAAGTGATAAGTAGAGAACGACATCCGCTCTCTTTGAGGTGATAACGCTATCGCTATATTATATGGGAGATAACAAATAACCAATATTAACTGCACCCACATTGCACTGTACACTGCCTTTCTGTATCGAGCTATGTTCAGTGGAATGGCTTGGCCCTGTTGTCCTTGAGCAACATGGTTCTGAACACGGATTTGATTATGACGCAGAGAGAGAAAAATGTTTGTGTAAGCGGAGATTGTGGTGACTAGACACAGAGCTGTAACGATGTGTTGATACCATGAAATTGTAAGAGTATTCCAAAAGGTTGTAGAAGCTCCGACAATGCACATAATCCAAAGACCAATTACAGCTATATGTGTTCGTTTCAAAGTTACAACTTGTCTGTATCTGAGTCCCAGCAACAAGGCGAGAAGTCTGTCCACGCTTATTGCAGTCAGTGTCAATAAAGACACATCACACAAAGTATGACCTAAGAAAAATAATGCCAGAACCGTGTAATAGCAACTATCCCATCTTCGCTTCACAACAGAAGTCAAGTAAGTTACAAGCAAAGGCTCTGTAATTATACCAACACAGAGATCAGTTATCGCGAGGTTACGATACAGAAGTTTGGACGGCGGATGAAGTGAAGTTTCCTTGTGCAGAGCAACTAGGATCAGAGTGTTCCCCAGAAACGCTGCAATGGACAGGAAAATGTTTAGAGCTGAAAGGAAGATAAGCTCGCCATCTACACCGCTGATTAATTCAGGTGAGCACAACAGTTCAATAATTGTTTTCTGATATTTTTCATCTTCGGTGAAATTCGTCAGTGCCATATTGTTCCTCTGAGACACAGTGACCTACAAGTGAGTGTTTTATATGAATGCTACGTTTTGTGTTTTAATTTGGGTTAAAGTAGATACTGTATCAATTTGTCATCTGTCAAGTCAACTATTTGCCTAAACGCGCGAGCTACATTGTAATTCCCTTTGCACATTTGTCGCGTCAGTTTAACAGTTATTTATCAGGAGCAATTTACAAAAAGCATAAACGTGCGAAAATAAATATAAAGGAGAGCTCGCAGGACAAAGAAAGGTTGAGAAAAGTTGTCTCGGTACTTTTTCAATCTAGCACGGAAATATGATTAGCCAGGTGTTGTGTCACAGCGCGGATGATTTTAATAACGTTTTTGGGTTCTTATATATGTTGGCGGCGCATTGGCAACGTGGATCGCAGTAATTATCAATGGAAATTCCAATAACTCAATATTTTTTTAAAGTTTAATATATAAGTTTGAGCTATCACTCCTTCCCAGCAATTAAGCGAAGTATATACACCTAATTGCAATAGCGTTGTCATAGTTAAATCAGCTAAAAGGAACCGAAATGAAAAATGCAAAAATCCAAATCGAAATTAATCAGATACCTTTAAACCACTATAGGATGAATTTATTTTGAACTTAGACGCACAAACTTTCCCTTGGCATTTGCTTTTAGTTCCCTAAAATGCCTATGGAGCAAATGAGTTCACCCTTTCTAGATTTCTTAGCAGGCCCAGTTAATTCCTATTTGGCTTTTTATTTTTTTCATCTTCCCTTTATTATTTTTCCAAGACAACTTCTGTCATTGCAATTAGGTGTATCTGCGTATGCGCTTCCTATACTGACCACCGCGTGAAGTTAATAGGGACCTTAAGATACTCTGGACGCGGCCGAGGAGGACGTCAACCGGAAGTGCAATGTTCAATTCTTGGAACTAATTAGCATAATGCCACAGCGTCGACCTGAAGTCGAGACGGTGAAAACTAGAAGTTTGGCCGCCTCGTAAAACGGTGAGTTGGTTTTCTTGTTTTCAGTGCAGAAATTCCTTTCCGTACAGGATTTTCGATCCATTTTACTTCAAGAGACACATTTAAGTGTTTTTAGTGTGGTGTTCTCTCAAGATTGACTCTTATTTTTGTGCTATCAAGCGTTTTGGGTTCAGTGTTTTGGCGACAACTGAGAATGAAAGCGCTGAGTCTTTCGACACAAATGTAACACTATAACTGCTTGTTTTTAAGGGGACAACGTTCTCGCTTTAGGATAGTATTTGAAAAATTTAAGAGACGGGAAGTCGAATACATTTTGTAAAAATTGTTGGAAAACAAAAATCTAGGCTTGTAATAAACTTGAACATGTCGGAGAAAATTGAGATCTTGAACAAGACGCCATGGTTCATTTATTAACTTTTATAATTTTATTTTGTTCACTTTCAGTTCAGCGATTGAGCGGTCTGAAGATCAAAATCTCGCCTTAGTACGGGAAGTTCTCATAACAGAACCATATCGTTTTAAAGCAAGATCTAGAACAACGGAAAGCGAAAAAGTCTGGCAACAAATAGCTGATAACCTGAACTCCGATCATACCCTCAAGTTTCCCTCGAAGAAATTTGTTTTTTTTTAGAGAGAAACTGGAGTCATAGCCGGCAGCACAAATTTTTCTTCCAATAAAAGATCGTTAAGGCATCAATCAAGCAAGACTTCACGAGTTTTTCTAAAAGACGTCATGGAATTAAAACACGAAAGCATTACTTTATCCTCTCTCGTCAGGCGAGCCGCTTCACCCCACCTGCTCAATCTTAATTTGTTTTTCCCGCGAAGGTGGCGGCGTCCTGGCTCCAGGCTTTCTCCGTTCCCTTTACCGCCGCGTCCAGGGTATCTTAAGGTCCCTAATGGCTGGAAAAAGGTATAAACATGTTCGCAACAATTATTAGGGTAACTTTTAATTTTGGGTCGATTATGATAAAAGGGAAAACGCGCGAAAACTTCATGACCATCTAAGTGCGAGTGAACCTTTTGTTTTTATATCACTCTTCAGTAAAATATGGATGAATGTCAGGAGGGATAAAATTACCTCATGTTTTAGTTATGCAATTAGCCAAGGCTGGGTTTTGACGCAATAATTTTTTTGCTAATTCTTCTGTAAAATATCACGATTCTGCTTCTAACAAAAAAAGAGCTGTGTTTTATTTCGTTTGTAAAAGTTACAGGAAGAAGAGACTGAAGTTTAGCAAAAATTGTGAATTGTTTCTACTTTGAGCCGCCCCCCCCCTTTTTTGAGGGAAGGGGGGGAGGGGGCGGCTGTACACTGGTTAAACTTTAATGAGCTCGGTGAAACTAACTAACTAACGATTTTAATGAGTTTTCAGTTCTGTAGCCGAAAGAAAGTTCTTAACAGTCGGCAAACACGTCAAACTGTGTGGGATGCGGTAATTTTGGTATCTCTTGTTATATTATAAGATGTAAAATGAATAACACTCGTTTGTTATATATAACGGATATGTTAATTCCCGCCGATAAAACACCTGCTATTTTAATGCGCTGACGATAAGTGAACTTACGCAACAGGACGGGAGAGGAAAGAAGACAGCAAACCTTGTGTGGCAAGCGTGACAATAATTTTGTTTGAAATACCTTTCCTCTAAATCTTTCCTTTAAAAAGATCTTGTTGTAAAGACCAGAAAACATTAATGTTAACTAAAGATCACGACATAACACGCAAGTTATAGCGGGGCCTGTCACGTTTGTCACACACAGTAATTTCGTTTGAAAAAAATTTGCCTTACACTTCATCTTCTTTTAAACAGATCTTTTTGTAAAAGACCAAAAAACATTGATATTTAGTGAAGATTACGACAAAACACGCAAGTGAAAGCCCTGTCACGTTTGTCATACATAAGCGTTTTTCTGCCGTCGTGTTAACTCACTAGGTATCTTAATTATTTAAGTTAAAAAAAGACTATGGTATCATTTCTCCATAAAGGACTAGAATACAAAGTGGAAAAGCTCAAGTACAAGAAGCGTGGAGGTTATTCAGCCAAGGATCAGAATCAAATTCGAAATTCCAGTTGGTAAATAAACCATCCCGGATCAGTCCACACCAAGTTTTCCAGTCGTCATTGATTAAAACAATCTATCATTTCTTAGTGAAGAATAATTAGGGGAGGAGAGGGGGGCTTCATAGAGAGGGTGGCTTATTAATTTTCTTCCCCTGAGGCTTATTAGAGAGAGAGGGCTTATTTGAGACGGGAACTTAATAGAGGATTTACGGTATTTGATAAAGTAGACATAATGTTTACTAAAACGCCAACAAGAGCGACCTTAATGCATGCTAATCAAATCCCTCTTTTTAGCAATCGCCCAAAGTTTTATTTCCCCATGATCTTTTAACACCTGTTACGAAGGGCTTCCACGGCCGAACATTGATATTGTCCAGTTTTCACTGAACTTTTAATCCAAAATATTTCGATAACGCTCTCTTAGACTGATTTCGCTCAAAATTCAAGAACATTGAGGCAGGTGTTGGAGGAACAAGCTACCGTGAACGATTTTGGAAAAAATATACCTCCCGGTGTCGAGAAATACGGCGGCAAGTAAAATAGGTAATGACGTCATTCCGTTGCTATGACAACTCCGATGTCATCGTAACATCAATCATAACAATTTCCTTCTTTATGTAACTCATCTGTGGTGGTTATTTTTGCAAGTCTCAGTTAAAGGTAACGTAGTTAATGCTCAAACTTGGGTGATATTGCCCATGAAAAACCGCATTGAGTATGTAATTAAATCTATAATTTCATGTTGCTGGTATGTTGCTGGTATTTATTTTTTCAGTATATTTTAGTTAATTTTTATATTCATAATTTTATTTCGTTAGGGTTCCCGTTTGTATTCTCTCTGCTGTAGGTGCAATAGATTCGTGAATAAATATTAAGGTAAAAGAAAACCAGTATAAGTTTGAGGTATTAGTTATTAATTGTACTTATCATCCTTGGCTCTTCTACAGTAAAAAAAGGTCACAACAGAGGATTCTTCCTTGAAAGTACACTTCAATTTAGCACGCATTAACAGGTAGAATGCATACTGACAAAACTAACTCGATCGACAGAATAGTTGCCTTAATGTTTCTTTTACAGCTTGCCTTACTTCTCTGATCTTCCAACAGTACAACAGCGGGTTTAATGACGAGTTCAAGTAAACTATAGTTCCTGTATATTGCCTGGCAAGGTAAATTGGCAAGGTTATCCCTCTTTGAGGTGTTAACGCTACCACTACAGCATACGGCAGATAACAAACAATCAATGTTCCCTGCACCCACATTGCACTGTACACTGCCTTTCTGTATCGAGCTATGTTCAGTGGAATTGCTTGGCTTGGTTGTCTTCTAAAAGCACGGCTCTGAGCATGGTCAACATGAATTTGATTGTGACGCAGAGTGAAGAAAATTTTTGTGTAAGCGAAGATTGTGATGAATAGGCATAGAGCTATACCTATGTACTGAGAAAGTGAACTTATAATAGGATTCCAAAAGAAACTAGATGCACCAACAATGGACAAAATCCAAAAACCGATGGCAGTTATGCACGTTCTTCTTAAAGTTACAAGTTGTCTGTATCTGAGCCCCAGCAACAAGGCGAGAAGTCTGTCCACGCTTATTGCAGTCGATGTTAATAAAGAGACTGTACACAAAGTATAACCAGCCAAACTGTCTGCATAATCTGTGTAATAGCAAATATCCCATCTTTCGTTCACCACAGACGTCCAATAAAATACAACCAAAGGCTCCACAAAAATACCAACACAGAGATCAGTTATCGCTAGGTTACGATACAGGAGTTTGGATGGCGGGTGAAGTGAAGTTTCCTTGCGTAGAGCAACTAGAATCAAAGTGTTGCCCAGGAATGCAGTAATGGAAAGAAAAGTATTTACTACTGAGAGACAGGTAAGCTCACTGTGTACGTCTCCAGTCAATTCCGCAGAGCAGTACCGTGCTCCGAGTGCTTGTTGGTTGACACCCTCAGTAAAATTTGTCAGCGCCATTTGTCTGCAATGAAAATAGTGAGCGCTTTATTGATATAATTTTTCTTATACAGCTGCTTTTTGTTGGCAGAAAACCAATTTTATAAGTGCCCCCAGGCTAAGTTTGTGGTTGTTCCATTGGTTAATTCTTCTTTCAAATTTCTCTTATTACCTGCGAAAACACGCATTTAATCTTTTCTCGGTGAAATGAGGAATAGCATGTGTACAGCCGTCCCCTCCCCTCAGAAAAAAAAATCGAAGGCGGGAGGGAATGGCGGCGGCCGGCTGTACACAGGTTGAGTGAGGAAATTAACGGACCCTCCTCTCCCCACTGGGGTGACCAGTGACCTCGTTCCAAGGGTCCTCTCCTATTCGGCCCCTAACTAGGATCAGACAGAGTGTTCCCTAGTCTGATACACAGCCGTTTTTAGTGTCGTCACGCAACGCTCAAAAAACGGCTCTGTAGCAGACTAAGTGTTCCCGAGAAATGCTGCAATGGATAGAAAAATATTAAGAGTGGAAAGGAATCTACACCTCTGATAAATTCCGCCGAGCAGAACAGTTCTCGGACTGTTTTCTGGATTTCATTGTCGGTAAAATTTTTCAAGGGCATATGCCTCTAGGAAGCAAAGAGGTGCAAGTGAGTTTTTGTTAAATATTATTATTTATCACTCTTTAAATTTGTGTGGGAGATCTAATCATGGTCAATTTTAAGAAAAAGTAAAGAAATTTTGAAAAATAAAATGACGTTGAGAATGTCTGAATCGCGAAATTTAATGCCCCCTTTCCATATTTTCCTTTTAGCCTCTAAAGAAGGTTTGTCTTTCAAAACGAAAGTTGAAGTTGTTATTGAACTGATCCAGGTCTACAACTGAGAGATCCGCCGGCACCACTTCAACGATTTGACGCTGTGAACTTGTTGATATTTTATACTTTTCCATATTCCGCTATTGAAATCGCGAAAATAAAACCCCGCCAAGAAGCGCGAAATTAAGTACCTGCGAATTTAAGTACATCAATACGGTAATCCCTCATAGAAGCCTTTAAACACAAAAATAGGGAGCCACGAGCCTTTTTTCTAAATTTAGAGATCAGCTCTACATAATACAATGCCTACACGGGGTTCGAGAACGCAGTCGGATTATTTTTAATTGCATAAGAGTTTAGAGTCCAGAATCCAGAATCCAAAGTCCAGTCCGCAATCAATATTTTTAAGAAGCGGAAACGGAAGTTGAACAATGGAAAAAACTAACAAATCGGCGTCGCATATTGCTGCTTGGATTTCATATTTATTTATCTTTTTGGCGTGTTCGTAAGCTTGTGACTTCGAACTGTAGAGTTGCCCTTCTGTACGTCAGCTATAACAATTATTGCATGGCTTTATAGTTATTATCGATCCGATGGGGGATTCCAAGTTCGTTATCGTGACCACTCTTTGTTACGTGGGGATTTTCGGTGTGGTTTTTATTGTGTGTTGTTGCGCTTGGACGCGCCACTTGAGGAAATCCAGTAGAGGGCTTTCGTCGCAGCAAAGAAACACCCAAACAAATCGACGCTATTTATACAGACCCACTCCACAACCTCCAGAATACAACGCACCCTCAACACCGATGCCATATGGTCCATCATGGCCAAGAAGAGGCGAAATTCAAAATGTGAACGCGAACTACTTTCCTGCCGCATCACAAAGGGCTGTAGCCGGACCGATGTTTCCAGGGTATCCATCAGCGAATTTATATTCTTTTGGCGTAAATTCGGCAACACATGTTGTAGAAATCGCGACTTTCGGCCGAGACAATAGACACGGAGAACAGTTTGCTGGCAATGATCTTAGCCATGCTTCAAACTTTGATCAAGGCGATAGCACTTTTGTAGATACGGAAGACCGAACAAGGGTGCTGACAAGGTCACAATCTTCTTTAGAGAGCGAGAAAGAAGTCGAAAGCGATAGCGATGGCTCAAGTAGTCAACCAAGCCATCTTCAAGACGTCACACTTCGAGAAGAGGGATGCGTGTAAAACGTAGTATTTTACTGTCTGGAAAGAAGGATTACTGAATACGACTTAAAATTTGAAATGAAAGCATCTTCGCCACACACGACCTATAGACGGAGTAAAACAAACACAGCGTTGTTTTGAAGTGGATAGTTAACAGTTTATTGTCATCGATTATCGTCAAAGCTTCTTATTGTATTTAATCAGTGGATTGTATTTCCCAGAGTACACCGTACAGGATCTTCACTGCCTAAATATTTGTTTTGGAGGGATGGGTAAGGGTCCTGGCGTGTTGACGGCCCCGTCTGAGTTTTATAGGGCGAGAGCTAGTGTGGGGAAAGGGTGAATTGGAATTTGGAGGGGTCCTCTTTCAACATCAACAAAAAAAATATTTTAAAATCTAAATTGAGGGCAGGAACTGATGTTAGAGTTTGCACTGTTGAATAACATTCTTATTTCTTTTTGTTATCTCTTGTTCCCAAAGCATAACAACAACAACAACAGCAGCAAGAAAACTAACAGTTTCCCTTATGATTTTTTAATTAAGTGTAGAATTAAATAATGATTAAAACAAGAATAAATATAATTCTCCATACCTTCTCCAAATTCTTCATATTTGATCTCCATACCTTTCCTTGAAGAAACAGTGAAGAGGATTTGTAGAAAGATAGAAGCAATTTCACTTAGGTGATCAGTTTATTTACTCTCATGACCTTCTCACTTGATTTGATATGGTTAGGAGAAAACTGGTGTTGGTCAATTTTAATGGGTGTCACAGGCATCTCAGGATTCCCCTCACCCCTCCTTTGCTACACTCCTAGGTGGGGGGTACTCTGGATTTCAAGTGAAGGGGATGATCGACGGACTTTTTTGGGTTTCAGATCTTTGATTCTGAGATTGTGTTGGGGGAAGGGAAATTTGTAAAGTATTTTTTTGGGTAGCTTGATTGAAGTAGTTATTTTTTGGGGTATTCAAAACAATCTGAAGATTTGTGGTGGCACCCGCGTATTCCCAGAGGCATAGTTCTGCAAATAAAGTACCACCAAACTTGTTTTGTGGCTTTTTTTAAGGCTTGGAAATTTGGCATGGGATATTTTTGTGGGTTAATTTTTGGACCAGAGATTGTTTTGGGTTTGTTGGAAGCCGTAGGGGTTTTTTTGGGGTTGAGATTCTTGCCCCCATTCGATCATCCCTGGCACTTGAAATCCGGAGTTCCCTCCTGGGGCGACACTTCAGTGTAAAAAATTCCAAAGTGCTACTGGGAGGGCTTAGATTCATGTATGAGGCAAATATGTCCACTCTGTTTGCTGCTGGTCGGTCTATGAGGGCTTAAACAGCAAGTTTGGGTTAAAATTCAGTTTGCATAGACGTCAAAATTGTTTGCGTTTTTTTAGAATTTATTCTCAACAAATTTACATGTTGAGCTCTTCCTTAGCACCACTAGTAAATCCTAGTATGCGGGGTAGTTAGTGTCTTATATATTTCTTTTTACTTTTATATGAGTTGCATATTATTTTTTCACAATATATTCAGATTATTTTAGAAAAATGTTCTTGTTACAAAATTTTATTGAAGATGTAATATTATTATAGTAATTATCAAAAAAATAACAATAATCTTAATAAATTTATTTGCTTTATTTATACACAAACAAACTTGACTCTCCTCTTTGTTTTTGTACTGATATGACAAAAACAAGTCGTGCACATCACACCTTGCAACTCGTGAAATTAGCTTACAATTAAACAGTCAACCAGTCACTGCACATTAATGTGTCAATGAAATGGTATTTTATATAAAGAGCCTGATGATCACTCGATTATGTCTGCATCAGGGAGATGTCAGTCTTTCAGCAGTGTACAAACATCACACTGTTATCCAACTAGTAGCCTGTTCACAGTCCCTCTTTATTCTCTTTAGAGACTTTAAAGCACAGGTATAAAAATAACAACCGCAGGAGATTTATGGACCGCAAACTGTGCAATGGGTGGGGGAGGGGAAAAGAGAAAATTTCTTTTCTTTCTTACACTTCAACCTCCCTCTTGCTCTCTTGCTTTGGTTTTGCACTGTCATGAACAGGCTATCCGACTGGGTGAATACGAGCCAACTGGCAAGTCTAGAGAAGGAGAGCTTACACTGGATACCAGAGGTAAACTCCAGGAATCTTACTTAACAGTGGGTGGCATCTTAACAGAGAGCTGAGCTTAACAGAAGTTCGACTCTGATATGCGATATCTAATATAATTCACACAGTCATGTTTTTATTGGTACAACTCACTTCCTATTTTGAATCATTCATTTCTGTGAGCTTTTCTCTTGCTTTTGTTTACAATGTTCTTGCAAACTTGCATCCATGCCTTCTTTCTGGTCTTTTCTATTCTTGTCATCATTTGCTTTCTCGCTCCACAAGACATGGTCAGCTCTACAGAGGTATCTTCTCACTGTCCTACATGCAACACATGTGATAACAACATGTCTTTCCCTTTTATCTGATGAAGAAACAAAATAGAAGAACAGTTGACTAAGTAAGCCTCCATCTTACTGTTACCAACTTAAACTAACATCCTGTTAACAAGACAATATTGTGCCGCCTTTCTTGCAAGAATAGTTTCCAAGAAAACAGCAAAATAATACAGCCTGATCAAAGTTTAAGAACTGAAAGCTTTTCCAACCCTCTTTACTTCGATTCAACATTTTTCTTTGAGTCAAAGTTGTGAGACTTCACTCATGAGATGATATACTAATGCTAAAGACTATTAAATTACTGTAAAAAGAGTTAATTTCATTTAGTGGTGGGAAAATCTCACTCATTTTGCTGATACTTACTCCTAACTCTGACCTTTGCGGTAACTCCTGGTACAAGCAAGGCATTGCAGTGTTTGCAAGTTGTTCTTTTAATGCTTGGATCCCTGAATCAATGAAATAAAATTTGTTTGTGAGACCCTTTATGATACTCTTTTGATTTCTCTTCCTCCAAAACTACATCATGTCCTTAAAATCTGCTTTAATTAATGTTTGTGACCAGGGATCAATTTAATGAAAATTTTTGAAAGTGTAATTAACAAGACAGTGTAGCCGTTGTGTTTAATAGAGTATGAAAACAAAGGCTACATTAATAATATTGTAATGTATACAGTTGTAAAAGTTTTATTTGATTGATCCCAGCTTATGTGAATGCATGATGTCTGCAAAAGAAAACAAATTGCATTATTGTGATTAGCCTGAGAAAACAGTTGACACTTTGCCATGCTACTGGTGGTTTATACCTGGCAACTTTTTCTGAGATATAAGCGTGAGATGTTTATCCTGGGAGTGCTAGGATTTTTGAAGACGACACGATCATTTCTGAAGATTCCCGAAGAAGTCCGAAGTCTTCCGAAGACGTTCGAAGTCTGCCGAAGGCGAAGGTATCGAGAAAA